ATACAAATACACTAGGCATGCTCCTGAATTTCCTTCTAGGGAGGGTGAAGCTCAGGTCATGTTCTGCTAACGGAAGAGCCAAGGAAGAGTGAGGAGGGGAAGCAAGGGGAGAGATTATTCTTGTGCAGAGCTTCCCTGAGTTACCCAACCAAAAACCCTGCCAGTATGATTCAGTTCCTTCTCCAAGCCAGTGGAGCAGGCACTAACTGCAGACATGACTACCCCAGGGAATCACACCTCCAGCCAGAGCTGGAAATGAGGGCAAGAGAATCCATCATGAACTTTCTCTGCTCTCACAGGCCGGAACTTTCTCCGATTAGCTTCAGTGGCTGCAGCGCTCCTCTCTTATACAAGTCATTGGCCGAGGTGGAACAGGGCGGAGCCTGGGACACTCAGTGGAAGAACAACTTCAGGCCCTGGATGCAAAACCCGGAGAACAGAAGCAGAGAAACACAGAGTGGGAAGTCCACCAGAGATTTCAGCTAGCACAAGAACCCCCCCAGACTGGGAGAGAAAGAGCTCTGTCTGCAGCCAAGCCTATGCCCATGGCTTGGGGGGAAAGAAAAGGTGGAGGAGGATGTGCCTGAAAAGCTGGAGCTCCTGGTCTGACTGGAGAGATACCCAGTCAGTCCTGCTCCCATCCACCAAGGAAAAGGGCTCTCCCTCACTTTAAATCATGCTCGCTGTTCAGGTGTTGTGGAATTAAAACAAAGCAAATTATAATCTCCCTCTCTGGGTTAAAGGCATGGAAAGATTTAGATTCCGTGTTTTTTCTCATCAGCTGCACAAAAGCCCAAAAGCTGTGTGATGACACTCTTCCCTGTCACTCTGGCCACAGTGATATTAATCACGTGTAAAAAACGGAGGGATGTGGGCAGACTATAACCAGACAACGCTGCCTCGGTCTGGCAGGAATGCGGACTTAACATCGCTGTGGTAAACACGCAGCTCCTACAGAGCAGTACATTTGCTCTCTTTGCAATACAAGCAGCTATTTGCAATCTACTTGTAAGGAGATGATCATCGTGGTGGCTTGGGGTGTGGCTGACAGCTCTGCTGTTCCACACCCTCAAACCATCCATAGGTGAGTCACAAATGCCAGGATAACCAGCAGGCAGAGGGATCTCAATTCTCCATCGCTGCAAGGATGACAGAATGACTACACTGGACTGGCTTTTTATGCAAACATAGGCACAGACTGTGCTGGACAGAAATGAATACAAAATCATTCTCTGCCCTTATCAATTGTAGGGCATTTCCAAGTAGTAGAGAAAAATCTCTCCACTGTTTCCCCCACATTCTGTGCCTAAGAAGAGAACAGAGATGATTGTGGATGTGACTTTCCTAAAGTTACAAACAAGTTGGTGCCTGAAGCATGATCATGTATCTGAAGCTTCTTCTGCTAACAGGCTTGGAACTGATGGTAGAGACAGGAGTATTAAAAAACTGCTCTTCAAAAAAGGGTCAGACATAAGTAACTGGGATGAGGCATTCACCTGTCTTCACACACAACTTGTGTGATAATTTTAAGTGACATATCCCCAGTCAAGTATTAGAGTTGCAGAGCAGCTTTTTGAAATATTCTTTTTTCACACCATCCATCTAGCAATCATAAGAAAACAAAAACACACATTCCAGAAAGCAGGAATTTTACTTGGCCTAAAAAATTACTACAGCACATGATCTAGAGGATGTTCGAGATCAACCCTTTATCCTCTGCACATACTCTAATACCTACTTCTATTGATCTGACATGCAGAAAACTAGGACAGCTAAAAGAGAAGTCCCTGGTACATGCAGCAGCATGGCAGGTGTGATCTACCTTGAGGGTGATCAGACGGCCACAGCCGAAAAACTAGGACGTACATGTTTGCCAGGAGGAATTTCAGAATGGACGCTGCATTCTAAGTAAGGCCAAATAAAAAGACGAGTACACAATCTGTCGCTGTTGCCTGCACTGTCTCTTTCCTCTAAGGGTAGTTCTCTTCAAAAAGACCCATCTCAAAAATCACCAACCCAAATTCTCAAATAGCCCCAATAGTGGGGATGGGATGGGACCTCTGGCGCTCACCCAGTCCTGCCACCCTGCCCAAAGCAGGGTCAAGTCCCTCTGCCAGGGATGCTGAAGACAACTAGGATTTGAGATAAAATTTCTCACTTAATACTAGCCCTGATGTGTTTTCATGGTTATGAACTCAGGAAAATTTCCACTCAGCCATCTTAGAGATATTCAGGTCTTTCATACATTTAAGCATTTTTTCCAACTGCTCCGAACATGTATTAGCATGCTAAAGAGGCTTTATTTTAAAAATTCAAGCTTGTTTTGGAAACATCGTTAATAAACATAACTGTACTCAGACTTGGTTGCAAAATAGGAAGTTACAGATGCTTGTGAATTATTTGTGGCACCACATGAGAATTATGAATTTGAAAAGCATTTATCAGCACAGTCTTTTTATAAGTGAAGGAAAGCAGGATGAGAGTACTAATATCTGTGGCTATCATTGCTGTTAGTGGTTGGCCATACCACCCGAATCCTCAAAAAAAGTAGGACAACCCAAAAAGAAAAGTAGGACATTTAATCACTCCACGCCACCTGGAACACTCAGCACTGCATCAAGTGCATGCATTCAGCACACTGAGATGCACTGGGCAGATGAACCTGGAATACTGAAGTGGGAAGCAATGGCTACTGGATGAGGTCATGCCTGAAATATTAATCAGGAGAGGATAATTTAATGTTTTCTTGGGAAAAAAACAATTCCCAGATCATCTGCTTTACAAAACGAAAAGAAAACCCACAACATAGTAGGGAAACTGATCCATAGGGTTTAGTCTGCTCTTCTTATCACTAACAGCAGTGTGTCTTCTGGACCATCTTCTGCCTCAACGTGATTTTTCGCAGAACAGACTTTTGCATACCCAGAATCCCAAATTTGGCCTCAAGCAGCCACCTTATGTTACTAATCACATCCCATCACGACATTCTTAAGCAGAAGGATTTGGGGAAGCTTTTGACCAAAAAAAAAAAAAAAAAAAAAAAGCCATTTTATTGACTTGGACATGTTTGTATTGCTGCAAATGGCATTTTGGAAAAGGGAAAAAACATCGTGGAAAAAAATTTGTGTCCAGTGTTAGGTTCATTACCCTGACCCACTGGTCCCTGCCAGACTGCATCCTTGTTCTTCTGAGTCCTCAAGCTCAGGTCCCTGTCAAAAAGAGGGCTGTGGTCTACAAAAGCAGCGTTGCTTCCTCACACTACTCATTTAGCCCATGGTTGTTTGTGAATGGCCAACACCTCTCTTCCTTTCTTATCGGGTGGGGTCTCTTGGCACTTCTATGAAATCTCTGAGGCTGTTCTCCATCTTTCAGGAATCATGAGAGACCATATGCTGAGTTGGTAGACACCCACAAGGATCACTGAGTCCCGCTCCTGGCCCTGCGTAGGACAGCTCCAAGAGCCACACCATGTGCCTGAGACCATTGTCCAAACACTTCTTGAACTCCATCAGGCTCAGTGCTGTGACCACTGCCCTGGGGAGCCTGTTTCAGTGCCCCACCACCCTCTGGAAGAAACAGCTTTCCCTAATATCCAACTTAAACCTCCCCTGACACAACTTCAGCCCATTCCCTTGGGTCCTGTCACTGGTCACCACAGAGGATTGATCAGTGCCTGTCCCTCCTCTTCCCCTCACAAGGAATTTGTAACTGCAATGAGGTCTCTCCTCCAGGCTGAACAGACCAAGTGACCTCAGCCACTCCTTGTATGGCTTCCTCTCTATATCCTTCATTGTCTTCATTGCTCTCCTTTGGACACTCTCTAATAGCTTAATGTCTTTCTTACATTGCAGTGCCCAAAACTGCCACAATATTCAAGGTGAGGCCATCCCAGAGCAGAGCAGGGCAATCCTCTCCCTCAACCAGCTAGCAATGCTTTGCCTGATGCCCCCCAGGACATGGTTGGCCCTCCTGGCTGCCAGGGCACTGCTGACTCAGATTCAATTTGTCATCGACCAAAGTCCCTTTCCGTGGCACTGCTTTCCAGCATCTCATTCCTCAGTCTGTACTTACATCCTGGGTTGCCCCATCCCAGGTGCAGAATCCAGCACTTGGTCTTTATTAGTTGTTGGTGATTGCCCATCTCTCTAATTTGTTGAGGTCTCTCTGCAGGGCCTCTCTGCCCTGGAAGGAGTCGACAGCTCCTCCTAATTTTGTATCATTGACAAACTTGCTTAGTATCCCCTCCAGTCCTGTGTCCAAGACATTTATGAAGATATTGAAGTGCACAGGGCCCAAGATGTAGCCCTGCAAACCCCACTAGTGACAGGTCACTACCACTAGTTTGTCCCAAAGTATTTTCCATGCTAAGGTCAGATCCTCCTTTCCCTGGCAGGATGTTTATGCTGTTCATGGCTGCACGGCATCCTTCTGAGGCTCATGTTTTCCGTGCACGATTGGAGACATTTCTCCTGGTGCCTGTGGTCATCCCATCGGTTCAGCTTAAACATCAAACCCCGGGTCCTTCTTGGACGACATTTATTCTGGCTGGAATATTCTGGAGTACTTTAAGGTTGTTATTATTATTATTATTATTATTATTATTATTATTATTATTATTATTATTATTATTATTGAGATTTGTTGTGTTTGTGGTTGGTGATTTTTTTTCCTCGTTTTGTGGTTGTTGTTGTTTTTGGTTTGTTGGTTTGGTTTTGGGTTTTGGCGGGGGGTGGTCACCGTGTATGTTTTTACTGGTGTGGAATAAAAACCTGTTCCCTTTCTCCCTGTGCCACACATCGCCTCCTGCTCCCCGTGCCCCGGCAGCGCCAGCGCTGGCAGCCCAGCGCCCGCGGCAGTGGCTCACCTGGGGGGCAGGAGGGCCGGGTCGCGGCGGCGGGCGTGGGAAAACACTTTTCCTCGGGATTTCTGTGGGTTTTTTTGTTGTTTGTCTCACCCAATCGGTGCCGGGTGCCGGCGCGGAACGCCGGGGCCGCGGGAGCCGTTTCCAGCCGAGCCGGGCCGGGCGGCGCTCCCCGAGGGCGGGATGGCGAAAGTGGTGGCGGCCCTCAGGAACCACTGGAAGAAATCCACGGTCGGCGCCTGCCTGCTGGGCTGGGGCGGGCACTGGCTCTATGGGAGGCACTGGTAATGCCGGCTGGGGCCGGGCAGGGAGGCGGGAGGGAGGGGGAGCTCCTAAAACGGGGGAGTCCCTAAAACGGGGGAGTCCCCTCGGAGGGCCCCGGCACCCTCAGGGCTGGGTCTCCCTGCCGCTCCAGCAGCCGTGGGAAGGCTCGGTGGCTTCTGCCCTTCCCACCTTGGCCGCGTGGTGTACCTGGCGCTGCTTCAGGCGGGAGGTTTGAACGCAGGGGATGTCTGGGTGGCGTGAGCGATTTTGGGGCCTCTTGCGGAGCAGAGAGTTTTCTCTCTTCAGCTTAAAAAAAATGCCGAGGACAGCCATCCCAGCTCGGTGGTCGTGTGCCCGTGGGTTTTCTCAGCTCCTTTTCACTTTTAATGGTACCATACGCCACAAGAGGGATGCCAGGCCCCTGTTCCTTTCCTGAGGCAGGGCATGGGCAGCAGCCCTGAGCTGTCCTTGCTGCTGTTGCCCACCCAGCTGCAAGGAGCCCGTCACTGCTGCTCACATAATTTGTGCCTAATGATGTCATTCCCTTTGTTTACCTGTGGAGCAAATGTCCCTTATGGTAAGCAGAATCCTCATTTGTGGTTTTTAAATAGCTGTGTTTATATTTTAGTCCTTGTCCATTAAGATGACAATTAATATTTCTGACTAAAATGCAAGGGTAGCCAAATTATTTTTAAAAATTGTTACTTTTCGTGCTGCTGTTTATCCTGTCCCTGTCTTCATGCCTTTTTAGTTGTTAAGTTGGGATTTTATTAGTGTTCTTTTTTGCTTGCATTGAAATGCTGCCAAAGCCTCAAGGGAAAAGTTAGGAAAATAAATCTGTTTATGTTGTTTGTTATACCTTCCTTCTTCACATCGTTTTGCCTCAGGACTTTTGCATTAAATCAGTCTTTGTTTTGCATGGTACATCTGCTTTAGTTGCTTGCTTCTCACCTGAAGCAACTAAGGCTCAGTTGACTTTCAGAGAAGTATCTGGGGGTCCTGGTGGATAAGAAGCTATCCATGAGCCAGCAGTGTGTCCTTGTGGCCAGGAAGGCCAGTGGTATCCTGGCATGCCTTAGGAAGAGCTCAGCCTTAGGAAGAGCTCAGCCAGCAGGTCGAGGGAGGTGATCCTGTCCCTCTACTCAGCCCCGGTGAGGCACATGTGGAGTGCTGTGTCCTGCTCTGGGCTCCTCAGTACAAGAGAGACGTGGAGCTCCTGGAACGGGTTCAGTGGAGGGCAAGGAGGATGATGGGGGGACTGGAGCATCTCTTTTACGAGGAAAGGCCGAGAGAGCTGGGCCTATTCGTTCTCAAGAAGAGACAACTGAGGTGGAACCTCGTCAGTGTCTGGAAGTATCTGAAGGTCCATCTGAAGAGGATGGACCAGCTCTTCTCAGTGGTGCCAAGCAATAGGGCGAGAGGCAATGGGCAGAAACAGGAAGTTGTGAGCAGAAGTATTTGTACTAAACAGGTTGGGGTTTTGATGCCTCCGTGTAATGTCAGTGACCTTGCATTCAGCTTTCTCCTCTGACGGCTCGAACTTTGAATTTCAATGAAATAACAAAATGTAAACAAGCAATTATTTGAAGTTCTATCATTCTAAATACCTCTTAGCCAAAATAATAAACTTAATGTACAAAACGAGGAGGAAGAAACTGCTTGGTGGCATTCCTGTGAGGGGCTGGCTGGTGGGGCAGAGCAGCCTGTGACCTTCCCAGGTACCCAGCTTATGCAAGTGGCCTCTTCACTGGCTTTCTGGTGCCACAGATACTAATGACAGCAGAGTGCACACTGCAGAGAGCTACTGGAGTAGACATTAAGAAAAAGACTGTGCTCCTTGTACATATGGAGAATGGGCACTTGAGAAGGCCTGGGAAAGGTGACAGGCACAACCAGTCTCCCCTTTGTGTCTCTGGTTTCCCGGAGCTCACGTGCCTGTTCGTGTGCTGTTGGTTTCAGCTGCGCTGATTTCCTGTGTGGTAACTGTGAAATCACGTTCTGATCACAGAGAAAGCGAATAAAGAGGAAAATATGAAAGGAAAACAAACAAAAAGAAAATCTTTGGTATCTGAATTTCAGTGCTTGGAGGTTATTTGCACTAAGTGTAGGCATGGTGCTTTAACCCAGATGATATATTGGGGGGGGAAATGTGTTCACATATCCCATTCTTTAATCTCCCCTTCTATCTATAAAGGAAAATAAAAAGAAAGATTTCCTTACCAGACACTAGAAATGCCAGGTGGGAAGTCCTGTGATGACAAGCAGCTGCGTGAGACTTTGATGCAGGGTGAAGCACAGCTGTAAAGTACAGCTTTCAGAGACTCAAACAGTGTTTGGAAACAGTGACAACTGTTTAGCTATTTCTGTGCTATTCTCTGTGGAGGATTGTTTTAGCCAGGGAATAGAAAAATGAGGAATGACAGAAGAACCTGATGGCAAAGGTGTAAAAAAGTATTCAAAGTGGTCTCAGCAGCCCTTTCATAGTGCTCTGTGCACGGTGAGTGCCTTACTTTGGGACGGCTGGACAGCAGGGAATAGGCCAGGATCCCTTTCTGCAGCTTGTTTTGCTTTCAGATGTGCTGGCTTTTGGTGTCTTTTTGTGCATTCCATCTTCCCAGTGTCTTTGCCTTCATGCCAGTTATGCTGGGGAGCATGAGAGGTGCCTTTTGCCCCACGCACAGACTGCCACAGGCAGCACTGGGAGAGGTTAATGAAGGATCCGTGTATGGGCAGTGTCGGCCCTGAGGTTTGCTGTTACCAACATCAGAGGCTAAATTGCTATGCATGAGGCATACCTGGCTAGACTTAGATTTGCCCTTTTAGAACAGATTTAAAGGTTTAGTGAGGTCTCGTGCTTTGGTTTCTGGCATCACGAGTTTCTGATGACGGAGTGTTTTGCTTTAGCACAGGATCAGTTCAGATTAGCCTCTGACTTCTTGGAAGGAGCTCTCTGAGATGCTGCTCATTTGTTTGCAGCTGGAGAAAATTTTTGTTTCCCATCCTGCATCCCTTTTCCTGTCCTTGAGGGTTTTCTGAAATATTTCTCTTGCAAGAGCAGATCATTTTCTTTTTTGACTTCTCAAGGTTCATTGCTCTTTTGGATGCAGTGGTTATGATGCCTGCATTAAGTGGAGCTACTGTAAATAACAATCTGTCCAGCAAATAAATGGCAACTCTTCTGTAGTCAATCTCTACATGCTCACAGGGACAGAAGAGCTCTGGAGTACTTCCTTAAGACTTTGGAGGGTGCTACGTGGACAAATCTGGACAAGAAGAATGTTACCTTTTCCAGTCTTGTTCTCAGTGCCACTTTTCTGCCTGGAAGTGGACCTGAGTGTCCCCCTCCTGCACCCTGAAGACTGTGCTGTGGGTCTGATGTGGATGCCCTTGTGCTCCTTAGGGTGTAAAGGGAAGAGGGGCACTGGAGTGTGATGGATCATTGCTGAGTTAGTTGAAGGCTGTGGATGACAATAACTGTCAAGGTCGAAGAGCTGCTTAGTCTGGCCTTTTTAGGCTCATTTTAATCTATAGCATATCATGCTGCAGGTACAAAAGACACTGAATTTAATATCCTAGATCAAAACTTAGAGGGTATTCACATTGTCAGGTGTGTGCTCATACACAGTAACATACTTCTCTTTAATGTATACACGTGAGTTTGGTTACACACAGAGATACCATATGATTGTTTTAAAATTTCCATGAAGTTTGGAAGCCCCTCTCACATTTATGTCCTGAGTCACCTTTCCTCAGTTGAGCTGCTGCTGTTCTTTGTACGTCCAGGTGGTGCAGTGAGTCCCCAGCTATGCCAAATCAGCAGAAATTTAATCTCTGGCATGATGGACATCAGCTTAACTCACTGTCAGATTTGACCAGACTGTTACAGTGATGTCCCTGCATAAGTGATCATCGCTTGGTCAGGATGGGGACTCTCGGTGTTGTACTGAGGCAGTGGACCCATCAGACACTTGGTTTTACTCTGTATGTGTTAAAGTATTGACTTTCTCCTTAGAAAATGCTGGCAAAGCACCTGAGCCTTTGACTGCCTGCCAGTAATCTTCAGTGTTATTGTTATCTACAATTTGAATGTTCGTCTCTGTGTGTTTGCCCACTGATAACTCACTTTTTCACCTTTCTGCATATACTTCTGAGTGGCTGACTTTATTTCATCAGAACTTAGTCAAAAAACCCAGAGTATAAATTCTGAGTCTTGGGTAAAGCTGATGAAAACTGAGATTGTCTTTCATGCCCTTCCAAAGCCGAGATGGAAGTAAATGCTAATATCCAGCAGAGAGGATACTGTGCTCTTGCCGTATTAGAAGCAGCCAAAAAAGCTCTCATCTAAGATAAAATCTCTTTTAGGAGTTCTGTTATAACTCCTGAGGAGTGATCCAATATGCCCAGCTTTGGTCAAGTTTCTCCTCACAAAACTAGTGTTTTAACACAGACACTGAGCTGGAGAGTCTTTAGGCTTCTTCTTTCTTATATACTTAACAGTGTTAGATTTAATACAATAACCCTTTTGGAAATGGGGTCTCACACTTGAGCTTCTTTATGCATCTGTAGTGTGGTCACTTCTAAGGGAGTTGCTTTGGTTGGCCCTTAGACAAAGGCTTACCCTTCCGCAGCTGTGGGCCTCAAACAGCCTTGTTTGATATTTGACTTTGTTGTTCTCCTGCTTTTTGCCTTCATGGCTGCCCTGGCTGACCCTTCATCATGGGAACTGTCCTTTCCTGCCTGGCCTCTGCTGGCACTGGGGCAGAGGATGCACTCTCCGCTGCAGGAGCATCCATATTAAATTGTGTGGATCTGTGTGTTTGGGTGTAAGAGTGCTAATTCCCTACTCTAGCTGAAAACACTCAGGGCAGGAGCAGTGGCCACCAGCCCTGCACTGGGGATGTTGATGACAAGTCAGAACAGCCCCTGTTCAAGGGGGTCGTACGGATGTTGTGCTCTCCCAGCTCTGGTGTGTGGGGAGCTCTGGGCAGTTGCTCTTGCATTCTTTCTCCCTTGGCTCCTTGCTTTGGTGTAAGCCCTCTCTGTCCTCCAAAGAGTCTGTGCTGCAGTGATTGCTGGCCTCGAGGGTTGACTGGGAATGTTCTGTTCATGGGTTCAGCTTAGGACATCCTCTTTCTTCCATACCCCACTGCCTCTGTTTGTTCCTCTCCGTCTCCCAATTTTTTACTGCTTAAGCAAGTTGTCCCAGCTGTAAGCTGTGCGGTGCTTAATTCTCACAGCGGGAAGACAGCCCTGAGTTGGCCAGCAGATGCAACACTGCTTGTCTGTTTTGCTTTAAGCTCGAATTGTGTAGATAAGCCCTTAGGGGAAATGTAAAGTAAAAATTGATTTTCGGTTTGCTGTGGATATGGTGCAAGTCAGAAGAAATCTCTGCATGTTCTTCAAGGCAGTGCAGCAATTTTCCCTCAGCCTCCACCTGCTCATGTTCGAGGGTTGTTGAAAAGGCTTTGTAACTGTCTAAGAGTGGATGATAAAGTACAAAAAAAATCAGCAGAATCTTGTGTGTGTTGTTAAAGTCTCTTTTTCTCTAGGAGCTGGTGTGCAGCCATATTTTGAGAATTAATACGTATGGAGACAGAAGACTTTAAGAAATTACCTTTCTGCTGTTTTTAACGTTTTTCTAGCCATATTTATTAATTGGTATGACCTACAGAGGGCTTCCAGAACACTTGTGGTACTGTGTGTGAGCGATCTGAGGTGAGTAGAGGAAAGTGCTGTGATGGAGGAGGAGGACTGTAAGTGCACTTGTGCTTTTTAAACTTCAGTTTGAAGTCAGTCACATTTTAAGGAAATAAAACATTTCCTGTTACCTGGCATCTTTTAGCCAAACTTAGGGCATCCTTAAGACTCAGATGACTCTGAAATATATGTCCCAGTTGAATCAGTGGGAATCCTAGAGGTGAGACAAATAACATATAAATTGCTGAATGGTAAATAGTTCTTCTGGTCTCTAAATCTTTCCTTTGACACCAAAACGTTAAGTGTCAGAATAGACTTTTTCTCATTCTGGAAGTGTTTCAGTGCAGGAGAAAATGAGCATAAATGTGGACATCCAAACTGTCAAGCTTAATTTTTATGGTTGAGACTCCATTGAGCTGAATCGGGCTTGCATCCTTGACAGTTGTTTTGAGGGTCTTTGAAGGTTGGGAAAGAAAGCAAAATATATTTTGCTTACATTTGGAAAGTATTGCTGGGCTCCATTTTAGAGGCAACTAAAACTGCAGCATAAGGTTGCAGGCACCAGGAGAAGGTGCAGGCTGATGGTGTGACACGGCTTGACTTCTGAACAGAATAGCATCAATGTGAAATAAACAGATAACGTAAGTTTGACCAGGATTCGTTAATGAGGTCAGGGCAGCAGTTCTCAAAGACATCAACTGTGCTGCCATCATTTGCTAGCACGATTTGCTTGATATCCCATAATATTTCAGCTTTATGTGTAGAAATTGCAGTTGCTTTGTGTTTGCTCTGGTCACACATAGTCATGGTGGGGGGGGGAAGTCCCCATGTGAGGGCTCATGCTCTCAGCAGTGCAGTGTGGACTGTCTTGGCTGAGCTGGAATTAGCTGTGACAATGATGCTTAGCTTGGAACACAAACCTTTTCAGAGGCACTTACTTTGACTGGTGTGCTTTCATCGTGTTACTGCAATCAAACCCAAGTCTGTCGCTTCCCTAAGTAATATTGCAGGTACTTAATACAAATTATTTACTTCTTTAGTTTTAAGGAGCAAATATGACAGCATGCCTCTGGGGAAATTTCTTCTTAGACATTTCAGTTTCTTGTTATCTTGATGAGGTATTACTCACATATTTTCTTTTTCCATGCTTGACTCTTCCTTTGTCCTTTCTTTATTACCAGGAATAATAATGTGGCTTTTTTACTGTAGAGTTATTTTCTCAGAACACAGTTTGATATCTCACCTGAAGTCACCCTACTTCCCTTTTTATGACATTGCAACATCTCTTGTTAAGCCAAAAAGAGCAGCTTATAGAGCTCCAGTGAGAGATAAATACTGTGAGCTCATGGAATCGAATAGATGGCACTCGTGTTTGGGCCTCGCTCTCTCCTCTGCCATTTCCATGGCAGGGTTTGGCCACACTTTGGGGCAGAAGCAAGCTGGTTTCTTAGTCACTTGTTCTTTTCTGGTTGGCCTTTAATCCTTTTAGTGTAGTGTTCATTTTGGTATGCTGACTGTAATTGGGTTTTTCTGTACTTGATATTTTAAGTACAGAATATACAGTAATATACAGTCTTGCCAGGTGTTGGCAAGGACAAGCTGGAAGGAATGTTTTGGTTTTAGCAAGGAGGGGCAGTGTCTGGTATCTAGAGGACAGGTGAGACTGGGCACTGCAGAACAGTACTCCCCATTTTGTCTGCAAGGGGAAATAGGGCAATTTTGGTCTGGAAAAAAGCAGACTTCTGTTCCTCACTCAGTAGCTCTGTCTCCTGTGTGCTTGCCAACTATACCCTGCTTGTCACCTTGCTAATGCTGTCACCAATGACAAGCACAAGGATTAGTCAGGAATTTATGTCTGAAACAAATGTCTGTGACATATCTAATACTGATATTTTCTCCTTTGTTTTTAAACTTCACTTGTGTGAGTTGAGTGTTTTTCACCTCTGTGAGTTACTGCTTTAGGCCGTGCTCAGACCTAGGTGGGTGGTAGGTGCTGCATGAACATGTTCAGCTCACTAACTGATGGAGAGAGGAGTTTACAATTATAAAGCACAAAGGTTTAAGTCCATGAAAGTTACACTTAAGTCTACTCTAAATCCCTTCCATACTGCCAGAATGGTAAGTACCTTCAGTGTAAATAACAGGCAGCATGAACATTGGAAAAACCCTCACCTTAGCTCTGGAGTACAGTTATGTAGCAATTTAAAAATAAATTACAGTTATGCAGCGTGTCAGAGCTTATGTAACCTCGGCACAGTCGGCATCCTGGTCTTTGTTTCCTGCTTTTCTTTATTTGACAAAGAATGTTTGTGTGCACAGGCAGAAAAAAAGTTATGTTTGTGTGCTTAAATGAGTGTGTTTCATCCACAAATTTTTTGTTTGTTTCAGTGTTGTCAAACTGTGTGTAAGAGGGGTATGCACCTACATTTTAAAAATGAGCAAATTGTTTTAAACTTACCCAACTGAACGCCTGCTCTCTCTTCTGTCTCACCTGATAGCGATAACCTGCTACGAAGAGCTGCATGCCAAGAAGCCCAGGTAATACCGTTTAAAGTCATAAAATTAGATTGAAATCTCCCTCTTATCTCGGTTGTGCAGGGCTCCTGAGATTTTCCCAGCGGGTCCCTTCTGCGTGACAAGCCTTGTAATGGTGCCATCTGCGCTTCTTTGCTGAAGTGCCAAAGGGTGCAGGAGGCCCCGCCTGCAACAGGGACGCTGCACCTTGTGTGCCCTCCCTGCTGCCGCTGCAGGGGACGGCACAGCCTTATCGCTGGGGTGATCTTAATTCCTGCTGTAGCTACCGGCCCCACAGTACTGCAGCTGCAATTGCTCTGTGCCTGTGGAGTTGTGGTAGGAAGGCGATTTGTTGATCAGAGTGAAATCTCAGACCCACCGCGAGGGGTGTCGTCTGGGCAGGAGCATCGCAGACTGCTTCATGTCAGTGCTCAGCTGGAGAGACCCTGACCCTTGTCTGTTCAATCCTGAGGGACTGACCCAGCTCTGTTGAGACCCGTGTGCTGGGAACTTAATGGAGTCGACCTGTTTGCTGATCACTGACAGGAAAACAAGCATTCGGGGGGAGATAGTTATCTCTGAGGGGACTGACTATTGCGTTTCCTAGTTTGTGGCCTGCCTGGGCAAACAGCAATTAAAAAATTCTCATGCTGTAGTATTCCTGTAAAGAAATCCTGTCCTTAATAAACAGTCTTTCAAAGGTATAAGTGCTGCTGCCCGTGACTGACATCACTTCTGTAGGATTTTAAGAGTCTTTTCACCTCCCACAAACAAAGTTTACTCTAAACTTGCTTCTCCGTGACAGATCTTTGCGATTTTGAAGGGTGTAACACTGTTTCCATCACTGCTACATAATGGGGCCTCAGAAGAATGGGGAAAATAATTTTTCTCAGTAGAGAACTTTTCTTCAGATTACTCTGCCTCTGTGGTGCACCTGAATAATTGCAATTTTAGCCTGCCTGCTGTTGAGAGGAAGAGTTTCACAGCAACTTGTCTTGTGCAGTGGATCTTCATGCCGGAATAGATGTAAGGGAGCTCAAGTCTCAGGAAAGAAAAAGAAAAATTTTTCCCTGAAAATACTACTTTCATAAATGATACTTATAGCTTCAGAGTATCAGTTGTTCTTGATTTTTATGTTTTCAATATTCATTTTTACTGCATAGTAACGAAGTGATAGAAGTTTTTTATATTGCCAAAAATAGCTGTTAATACCTCATTATTTGAAGCATGCTGGCCAAATTAAAGCAATTTTTTAAAAGGCACTGAGGAAATGGTGAGTGCGTGCTGTCAAAAAGGTATAACTGCTAAGGAAAGACTGGTACAAGAAGATAGTTAAGTTGTGGGAATTCTGAATTTCCTGTTTCTTAATTCTAGTCATTAAGTGACGGGTTCTGTTCCATTATGGCTTATTCTTATAAAGGAAAATACAAAAGCACTGTCAGTAGAGTTTTCTACAATTTCAAAGGTGAAAGCCTGGGAAAATATCCTGCAGAGGACTCCTACATTAGAATGGAATGAACCAGAAGAGGCTAGTAATCAATTCTTGCTGTAATTTCCATTTTTACTGATGTGTCAGTGCCAAATAGTTCTTGAAAACACACAACAATACAGCAGTGAGGCATTAAGTATCTGATATGTTCTTCAAAGTAACAGCAATCTGAAATTGTTTGAAAAATGCTCCTTGAATTTATAGTGTTGTATAAATATTGGGAAAAAAATAGCAGCAGACTCACCCAAGAGAAAGTTTAGTCTGAATGAAGTGGTGTTGGGGGGTTACTGCTATTTTTACATTGGATTTTTAAGATTTTAAGCCTGTTACAATATCAAATTGAGGAGGCAGCTGCCTTTCTGCCAGAGTATCCACTACAGCAGTACTTCATGCAAAGGTTCCACCATGCGTCTGAATTTAAATACAATTTTAGGATGACAGTCTTGGTGTGGCAAATGACTGTAGAAATATTCTATAATAAATAACTCATTTATCATATTTTAACATTTTACACCTCCTTCTCTTGAATAAGCCAGTGTCAGCTGACTTGGGCTTTGCAAATCAGTCCTGCTGATTGACGTTGTTGCTGAACTCAGGGCCTGTGTTAAAGGTGCTGTTTATCTGGCAAACAATTCACTCAAGGATAGTTTTGTGTAAAAGAATGTAGTTTCTTTGTTAGTATTCATAAAGCACCATAAAGGCTTTGTATAAAGGGTTTTTTATAGTTGCAGGTAGTGATTGTCATCTTGGCAATGCAGAAATACAATACCTGGGAATGTGCACTTGACAAGAAAGTGAAAAAGGCATTGGCTTACCTAAATTACACCTTCACATATATATTTAATAGCCGTTTTTATTGTCTGACTTTAAATTATCTTTACTTGTGTTCTGCTCTGAAAGACTTCTAGAACGTTGCATTATTATTTTTATATTTCCTGTCTTACAAATCAGCATTTGCTTTAGAAATGCCCCTGTACGTAACATAAATGTCTAAGTGCATTACATAAAGAAGTGATTATTTCGTTACTCATAAATTCTTTATGAGTCTTGTAAGGTTGTTTAGAGCCTTGTTAGATTGTTCAGAGCATGCAAATACATCACATTGTGTCCCCCAAGCAAACAATTAGTTCTTTCTAACAGCTGTAACATGCTAGAGGTCCCCTATTCCCCAATTCCCGCCCAACAGTTGCAATATAATAAGTTGGTCTGTTTTCCAGCAGATCTTTGAGTAAAGCTTAAGAGCTATTGATTTGTTTCCATCTCTTTGAAGATTTCTTTTCTCTCAGCAACTTCTCTCATCCTTTTCCTTTCTTGAAGAAGAAATTTGAATGTTTTAAGCAGCGTAGCGGCTGCACCCTTCTTTTGATTGAGGTTTTCTGAGCAAAATTGGCAAGTGGAATTAATTGTAAATTTGAACAGCTAACAACCACTAAAATCTGCTGTTCTTTGTGTTCCATATCACCTTCTTCAAGTTAAAAATTCAAGTTAAAAATTCAAGTTAAAAATTCAAGCCAAAAATTCAAGTTAAAAATTCCTTCTAGGGGGATTAACTTTCAAGATAAAGGGGAAAAGAAACCAGGGACAATTGACTGGGCCGTGTTCAGCTCAGTAGTCTTTTGTTCCTACTTTATTTCTGTGGCTTCTGGATAGTATTGCTGAATACCTTGTCATCCTTCTGCTCAAAACCAGCTTGATTTGGTGTGTTAGTGAGGATGCCTTTAAGTGACCTAAAAGAAGTTTACAGAGTGGGATGTATGCATGGAAGCTTTGCCTTTTCTTGCCCCTCCTGTGCTGAAAAGCTATGGAAATAGGTATAAGAGTCTGTATGGAGTAACTCTCAGAGAATTTAAAATAGAGGTGCCTCTTCAGAATTGCATTAAAAATTGAAGAGGAATTAAGTGATTTTTATAGAGAGACATTCAGGGGAAAAAAAAAAAAAAGAGAAACAGTGAACTTACTCTGGTAATTCTTTCATATCTCCAAAAACTGAAGCAAAGAAAATACTAAAATGGGTAGAAGAGACTGAGGAATTGAAGTTCAGAAGTGAGAAGGGATGCAGAAAGAAGGTGGCAGGCAGGTGTATGAGAATTACATAAGGAAAGAAAATCAAGTAACCTTGGAGTCAAGGATAGCTCCCTGGATCTCTGCCCATGGCAGAAAACCAGAGGTTGACAAAAACGAAATGGTGGTGGAATTGTAAAAATGAGCTAAAGAGTACTTATGACAGTGATGTGAGCTGATGCTAAGAGTGCAGGTCTTTAAATAGGAGACCTGTACAATGGCTGAAGATGGAAGTCATTTGAATGTCATGAGGCTTGAAAGCCCATTGACATTTGTAGAGGAGCATTATTTTGACCTGTTTTAGTACTGTGCTTAAAAGATAAACTGAGCTCTGCTCTTTTTCTCTTACTTAGGCTTTTGGCAATGAGCTGATCCCTCCCACTATGCCACTGAAGAAAGCAACAGTGTTCCTCAACCCAGCAGCTTGCAAAGGGTAAAATTCCTCTTTTCCAACACTCTCATTTGAGGCACTCTTTCTTCATTTTTGCTCTGCCATCCACTACAAAAGCCAGCCAGATTCTTGAGCTCATTTTTGCCTCCCTCTGATACCAAGCTGGCGCTATATAACTATGCCAAACTTTATTTCACCAAATATATTGGGATGAGAAATAGAATTAGAGGCTTGAGGTGAAAGAATGTTTTCTAAACATATGTATATTTTGAATTTTTTTTTCTTTTATCCTGTGTTTTGGCCTTTGTCATTCCTTCGTGTGTGGCATTCCTCCATATTCCATCCAGACTTTTGCGTGTGATACATTTCCACCTCAAAAGCTTTAGAAACGAGATGACCTTGATTGCTTCAAGACTTGACATTAGCCAGCAGTGCTCTTACTTCAGGGGGAACCTGTCCTTGAAAGGGATGTGCCCACAAACTGAGAGGCTAAATATGGGCTCAGAGCAAGACTCCTGGAAGAGGTCGGCTGCTATTTTTACCTGCTCATTAGCAGAAAACCTGTAATCTTGGATATGATGTGTGTCTGTTTCTGCTGATCAGCTAAGCTTTGTATCAGCTGCATTTTGGGGAGGGGCAGGGAGTTGTTAGTACCAATATGAAGGGAATAATATATCAGACGTGGAAGTGCTTGGACTTAGGTGCTTTTGTTCAAAATACACATGACTGGAAAATGCCAAGTATTAATAAAGCCTCATATTTCTACTTGAAAGCAATTTATAGTTAGTGGTATAATTATTTTATTATGCAATTAGAGGTAGAAAATGTATCAGTTTTGTAACAAAAAAAAGGTCAGATACAGTTTTTCTTCTAACCCTTACTTAATAATATGTTGTAGTAAATAGTTGGGGTTTTTTGATGTTTCTGAAAACCTATATGGGCCTTCTTTGAGGTCGTAAAGCCTGGTGCTCTGTAAGTCAATAATTTTCTAATAAATTTCTTTTTGGAGATCTTATTTTGTTTCGATGGATTTTTTAAATTATTTTTGGAGAAAGGTAGATAACATTTTCTGCATTTGTTAAAACTGCAATAAAAAACCTGACATCTGAGATATGAGACTAGAAAGGTAATACATTTGAACCACGTGAAATCTCATATTTCCTGACTGGCAGATTGAGTGACTGATTGTGTAGATTGTATGCTTGGTTTTAAGTAATTTCTTTTTGCTATTCATTTATTTCTTTTCTTTTTTAATTTCTTTTTAGCCACCAGCCTAATTAAATAGTTTTTGCTCTGTTATTTCTAGCAAAGCCAGGAACCTTTTTGAAAAGAATGCAGCACCAATTTTGCACTTATCTGGCTTGGATGTAACTGTGGTTAAGGTAAGAACTGATAGGTTCTGCTAATATAGGTACATTGTCTGCTCTGCTTTCTCCTCTGGAAGAATTAAAATTAAAATCTGTATGCATTTGAAATACTCATTTGTCCTGTAGCCATCTAATGGGAAGAAATAAATACTGAGATATTAAGCTGGTACTCAGTCTTTTTCTTTTTTAATTGACAGTTAATTTACGAACAGTATACTGAGATTTTAGTTTTCAGCTAAAGCAGTACATATGCTTGTTTGTCTGTCTAAAGCAGCCCTTCTGTAATTCACATTTGAGAGAAAACTCTCCAAGTACTTGAGTGCTGGCTCGTGGTACGTGCCCAGTGCTGTTGAAATTGTCATTTCTGCCTGAACTTGCAGAATTCCGAAGTGAGGAACTTGGACGTGCAGTGGAAATGTTCAGGTTAATTAAAAATAACCTCATCTTTTCACAATGGAAATATCTCAGTGTCTCTCCAAATAATTTGACATTCCCATTACAAAAGCAGAACACTGAGATCTAAATGTTGTGAATTAACAGACAGGTTTTCTTTGGAAAGACAGGAACAAATAAACATGAAGGGATTCTGATCTTTTTGCAGGTTTTTGAGGTTGTGATATGAGGATTATTTAACAGTCAGTGGGTTCCAGCAGTGAAGTACTCTGATGTGCATTTTTCTGTCTTGGAATCCTTTTCACAAGGTTTAATGTTAAAATGCTATTTTTATTAATGCCTTTCTCTGATCATTGAAAATACATAGTCCTACCCAAAGAGAAGAAAATTATTTTGCAAGACTTGAAACTGATGCCTGGTAGCAACTGATGAGTTGGCAAAACAGGGCTGAGCCAGCAGATGAGGCTGAGATATCTTTGTAAAAGACAATAATTTTTCAGAAAACAGTTTCCATGGTTTAGAAAGTCAGTGTTCCCTGTACTGTTAAACCCATGGTCAGCAGCTTGCTGTCGGGCATGTCATGTAGCTGATGCTGCTTCAGGAGGTGCACTTGAGCACTTTGGCTGCTAAAGGTGTCGGGAGTTTATCTGCGAGAGCATGGTTAGCTTTTGGTTTCTCTGTGAATTTACCTGGAAATAAGGTTGTTGCTGTGATATTGTAGATCTGTTGAGTAAGATATACTCTGATATTTCATTTAACCTTTGTGTGTGTGTGCCTGTGTGTTTACTTGCACATGTTGTATTAGGCAGCAGCCTGGTATTGAAGAAATCTCCATGAGTGTAAGTACAGTACTGCGTGCCTGTGTGACAGTAACTGTTAAGCAGATGGACAGATGATTCTTTTTCCTCTAAGAGAGAGAAATTAGAAATAGCCATCTGAGTTCTCATGTTTGGATTTCTGTTTCTTCAGACTGATTATGAGGGACAAGCAAAAAAGCTGCTGGAATTAATGGAAAACACGGATCTGATCATTATTGCAGGAGGAGATGGCACAGTACAAGAGGTACTGCAGGAGCCTGGTTGGCGGGAGTCGTGGTTGGGCTGAGAGTGAGAAGATTGAGTCTGTGCAATGTAGCAGCACCATATTACTAGAGATTTGTCAAGTTTAATGTCTGTGTTTTCAGTCAATGTTATAATCTCCTGGGAGCAGTGACACTCTGCTAGTTGGTATTAATCTAAAAGTGATGATGGGAGTGGGGGCAAAAGGAGTGTGTGACGTGTCTTCCAGAATTTTATTCAAGAACAAGCAAACTGTTTGGAGAGACACAATTCTAACTTTTTCTTTCTATGTGATTTAGTTTTAATGGTTTAATTTGCCAAGTTCAGTCCTATCTGTATGCTCCCCAAGAGGAATGCATATTTTGCTAAGTGGGAATCAGATAATTTAAAAGTTATATGGGAATGATAACAAAGCATGGTACATATTTAATAAATGCCTATTGTCAAGATGATTAATGACAGGAGCAAACTACCAGCAGAACTGGGGGATACTCTATTTTTCAAGTAAGACTGTATTTTGTTGAAGCATTTCCTGGAATGCTAACTACTTCATGAGACAATGGCTAAATGAAATGCAGTGACCTTAAGAGAAAGTGGTCAGAGTACATCTGCAAGTTCCTCCTGGCCTTAGAGTTGATTATTGTTAATTGCACTGGCCAGTGCTATTTTTGCACTATGCATAGCGTTATTCAGTGTTGAAACATTTACACTGGCAATGGTTATGGTGCCAGCATATGGTCAGGCACACTCATAACCCTGCTGTTTCCACCATGTTTGCACACTGAACATGCCTCCTGTCCCGTGTAAACAACCATAGCACCTTCCATGAAAGAGTAGGTGCTCCTTAAATCTTTCCAGAGAGTAAAGGTGGTTAAGAATTTCTTAGCTTTTTACTGTAACCAAAAAGTAAAATCCTTGGGGCTGAGCATTTCCCTTGTTTTTCAGGTCATAACTGGACTTCTCCGCAGAGCAGATGAGGTGAGAAAGTGTAATTTTTAAAATTCTGTGCATTTCTTAGAGTGTCTTGTGCATCCACTGTGATCTCTTGGCCTCAGCTGTCTTCTGCAGATACACTGCTTCCTAATCTGGAGCCAGCTTGCTACGTACCAAGTCAGCCGTGCTGGTGTCCTGCAATGCTGCCTGTTGTTCTTCTTTCTGAGGGATGCAGTGGCTCCCAAACCATGGCTTTGGGAGGTTTCCAGCATCAGAGCAGGGATTGTGGAGAAGCCAAATGCTCAACTTTCAGAGACCCGTGGACCAGCTGTGCATGCCACTTTGTTTGGCACAAGCATCGGGCGAAAGTACATGTTTTTCTTTCTTGTATTTGTACAGGCTTGAAAACGAATTCAGTTATGGTCACACTCCTACTGCTTTGGGAATGCTCTGCTGTTTTTTCAAGCAGTGAATATCTACCTATGCAGATGGCTGCACTAAGCAAATTTTAACCTCTCAAGGTGGATCGCTCCAAATGGAAATGAGGGAGATTTTTCTTTTTAAAGTGGGAGGACAGTGTTATTGAAGAAAGGAGGGAATCATTGTTCCCAAAACCTTCTGGCAGGAACTGGCAGAAACTCAATTAAATGATCCAGACAAGATTATGATGATACCCTTGGCAGCTAGAATTGTATCTGTTTAGGCATTTGCTTTGTCTGAATGTGACAAGAGGAACTTTGCAACCAAGCCAGTATTTTTAAAGGAGGGCTGGCTGTATCAGTTCTGAGAAATCTTTTTTTAAAGTTTAATATTATTATAGTTGGCTCCTGAGACCTCTGTAATCTGAAGATAGCGGAAGAAAAGTTTTAGAGGCTTTACTGGCTGGTTTCTCTTCTCTATTTTTTGACTTACTATCTTGATGTAGCTTGGGTCCTTTTGCAGCAGTGTAGGAAATTCTGCATCCAGCACAATTACAGTTGGAATACTGCATTGTAGTATTACCGCTGTGTCACTTTGTGTCTTTGGCCAGGGAATCCTTCTTGTCCTTCATATCACTGTGTCCTAGGAGTAGAGATCTGCACTTCAGCCCCCTCTTTCTGTGCTCTGCTTCCCTTTCCACTCGGGTATGTCATACCACTGTTGCCTGGATAAGAAGAACCTGTGCAAGGCATTCCAGAAACATTGTTCCTGGCAGCCGGGGGAGCAGAGCTTGACTGCATGAGCTGCAAACAGCCTCTGGTCAGCACACTGTAAAACAGCTCTGAGGAAAATGAGAGAAGGGTGTTTGAGATGCATTAAGACTGGCAGGTGACATGGAGATAGCAAGGGAGAACGGTTGGGCAGTGAGACAGGAATTAGTGAGTCAGTGCGGATTGGCAGTGTCCCGGTGCTGCTGGCAGCAGTGCCCAGGAGGGAGATGGTGCACTGTGGTATATGGTAGTTCACAGTGATTTGCTGACACGCTTCGAGAAGCACAGTTTATTACGAGGCATAGTGTAATAACTTGCTCCTTCAACAAGCCCTTTCGCTGAACTGTGGTACAAAAACCCAACATTGTCAATGACTTTCAAAAATTAGACCTTCTGCTGCTTCATGATTTGAGTGCCAGAGGAATCAATTAGTTTCCTCTCCTTAAGTGAGAAAATCTCTTTGCTGTGCAAGGTTACTCTGTCAGAGTGGGATTTCTGCAATGGTAAATGAGATTCAGAGCTTGTGGTGCCACCGTCAGTATTGCGAAAGATGGCAGATTACTGACAGAATCCATGCATTAGTTGGGATGTGGCTGCCAACCTGCGTGTAACAGTGCTCTTAATGATTACAGAGAGCTCCTTTGTACCCGGTTGGCAGTGGTGGATTCACAGATTTGGATGCCATGTTCTGAGTCATTATGTGTTACTGCCTCGTTTAAGGAAGTGCCTGGCTGCTCGGTGCCAAAGGGGTGATACCAGACACAGCTGTGATCTCCACACAGGAACTTCCTTCAGCTGATGCAAATGTTAATTTACTCTCCTTGTGTCCAGGCTGCCTTCAGTAAGATTCCCATAGGATTCATACCTCTTGGAAAAACCTGTACTCTGAGCCACACGCTGTACCCTGAGAGCACGAACCAAGTCCAGTAAGTATTACTTGTTTCTGAAACATGTTTGTTTGTTTTCAAGGAGCAGTGCTTCTTGGTAGCTTGGATACTTTCCTTTCTCTTCTGAGTTATTTAGAAGTTGGCAGTCTCTGGTCAGAGCTTGACGATTCTCTGAACTTGCCTGAGTTAATGACTTCCAAAAACTGACTAAAAATTAAAAGAAGGAAATGTATGTATTATTAGAACATGATATAATTTGCTGTGGCTAATTTCTCTGTGATGGTGTGATGCTCAGAGTTTTTTTTTAAAAAAGAAGGGATTAAAAGGATCAGCCTCTTAGGAATAGCAGAAAGGGTATGACAAGGATATAGCAAGGATATGACAAAGTAAAACAAAAATAAGTCCTATTTTTGTCCCTTCTCCAGTCTTAAGAATTCTAGAAACGAGTCTGCATATAACCTGGTTAGCACCTGCAAAGTAAGGAGTAATACAAGAATATGGGAAAGGCTGGATCCTATTACTGACTTTTGCAGAGCGGGACTGGCTTTTCCCTGTGGTGGGACTGATGCTGGCAGCAGTCCAACAACCTGATTCTTACGTTTAGCATCCTGGATGTGATCCAACCTGCCGGTATCTGTTGCTGGCATTTCAGGTTGTTTGCAAGATCATTTTGTCCAGTTCTAAAGTAAAAAGCCTGGTCAACTAATCTTTCTTTTCCCCACACTTCACTTCTTTTCGATTGCTCCCTTCCTCTCCTCTCCTACTGATAAATACGTTATTTTCTTGCTGCTGAAATCTCTTTGCTCTCGCTCTCCCACTAACTCATTAAAATTTTTCTTTGTGGAACCCTTGCTGGTATCCATCATCCATAAAACCCACGAGTCAACTGGCATAACATCCTTCATTAAAACTGCCAGAGTGCTTTGAAGCTCAGCAAGATGGACAAGGCTGTAATCAGCAGCTTAGATTAAAATAATAATTTATGTTTGGGTTCCAAAGAAGCCTTTTGAAATGAATGATCTTCTTGTCCCAAGGTAATGAACTGTGCAGGTGAGTCTGCAGCATATTGGTGAAGTTGAAGGTAATTTGGTCAATAGACTGCTTAACAATCCACACCAGTAATGGAACCTAACTTTAAAAGTGCAGAAGGGATATTTTTAAAAGGAGTATTTGGGCTTTGGTTCCTTCAGCACTCCTACTTTGGAGTGTAGGAACTGTAAAGGTCTTACAGAAAGATAAGAGTTAGGAGAGAAGAAGGACTGTGGGAAGATCAGCTTCCTTATCTGTCTCAGTATTGTAATCCTGATGGATCCAAGGGCAATTTCTCCCCCTGATTCACAAGAGTATTGCGCTGGATCTGAAAACTGCATTTTTTTCTTGTCCAGCTGAGACACTGGAAATGTATGCAATGTGGAATCTGAATTTTACCCAGCTTTGAAAACAAAGGAGGAATTTTAATCAAGTAAATGCTTCAAGGTTTGAACATAAACTACTTAATGGACTTAAACACTTTGATTACAAAATCTTTACAGCTTGAAATGACAAAGTACCTTAGCTACTGCCCACAACTTAATGGGGACCAGAAGGACAGGAGCACTGCTGATAGGTAGATTTATGTTGATTAAAAACTTCAAAACAAATTAGCATACTAATGCAGTTCAGTCCCAGACACATGAGCTGAGGCCAGTCTTGTGTTATCCCCACCTAGTAAGATAAAACAGTGATTTGGGTCCACAGTGTGTTAAGTATCTGAAACAGCAGGTAACACAGTTGGCATGTGATCTGCCACGTTAGGTGAAGAGGGAGGAATCTCTGAAAAGCTCAGGCTGAGAATTTCCTTTTGCTTCTTGTCTGTTTTGCTGTTTGTTAGGACGCAGGTTTTGTCATGTGTTGCAGCCCCCCATTTTGCTTTCTGATTTCAGTGAAATGGAGCACTTTTCCCTTGGGGTTGTTACATATGCTGAATAAAAGCCCCACCTGGACTTGTACTGGAATTTTCTGGAAAAAAATGTAACTATAAAGCTTACTCATTTTCTTCCTTCCTGTTTGTTTTTCTTTGCTTTTTTTCCCCTGTTTGTTTTGCAGACATATTACTAATGCTACACTGGCCATTTTGAAGGGAGAGACAGTTTCACTTGATGTCTTGCAGATCAAGGTAAAAGCATCTGCTTTTTTGGAACTCAGCATTCCTAAAACTCTCCTATTCTCATGTTCTTATGTTTACATGAACTGCTTTTCCTCTGTTTAATGCTGTTACGAATTTTGGTTTATGATATCAGCAGTTCTGATGGCAGTCATTTCTCTGCTGTGACATCAGATAGTCTAACTGGGAGGAAACACTGGAATGCCTGAACATCATCTCTTCTGAGGCTCAGAGAGTGTTGATGAATACAAAACTTAGTAACAGTGGTGTTTCTGTACCAATGTTGAGAGACAGCAATAGCTGCCCAAGCTGATTTGATGCATTCATATGTAGTGTGCAGTTAATAGCTTGCTTTGACATGCTGAAAAATGTAAAAGCAGACGGGATGTATAGTGCTTAAATTCTGCTAAGCTCTTTTTGCTGTTAGGTGTTTATCAAACACCCTTCTGTTAAATGTCACTTCTGGGATTAATCAGAAACCAGTTTTTACTTAGAAATGCTGTTTTCCCTACTTCAGAAAATAAATTTGGAAACAAGGTAAGAGAAAGTGATTTCGCAATTCTTGTTTTTCTTTACAGGGAGAAAAGGAACAGCCTGTGTTTGCAGTCTCTAGTTTGAGATGGGGATCTTACAGAGATGCAGGAGTTAAAGCTAGCAAGTAAGAAAATACCATTTTTGAAATTGTGCCTTTTTTAGCGTCTGTTGCCAAAAAGATATAACCCCCTCTCTTAAGTAAGTCTTTTTTTGAGTGTAGGCATTTGATAGACAGAAGCACCCACTCTTGTTAGGTCTGGCATTACACACATGGGAGTGTAAGATGTGTCAGCATTTTTGTAATTTCAAATAAACACTTATCTGATGCCGACCTGTTCTTTTAAGTATTTACTTTCTTCTTGCCTTGTGGTATCCGCTTCTGCAACTTTATTCAGATTTGTAGCAGGGGGAAAATCTCTCCCTTGAGTCAAGTCTAAGTAAAGTAATTGGCCGTTGTTTTTCATCACTGCCAATGAAAAGGTGCACGTGGACTCTGTAACTCAATTCCAACAAGGGACATCAGATGCAGTCAAAACGCCTTGAAGTTCCTGCTGGAAATGGCATGGACTGTGCTGTCTGATGCCTGTTCTCTGAATGCTAAACTAATAATTATTGGACTCTCTCCAGAAGGACATTTCACGTGCCATGTCTGTGTGTCAAATTACAAGCATTGTCTGGTGAAGGAGCAGCAGTGCCAAAGCAACTCACTTCATAAACTCTTGTGGGGGGAACCCAGCACATACCTCGGGAATGCAGCTTTAAGGAAATACCGTGTGCTTTGCGAATGTGCTGTCTTTGTCAGGAAGGAAGAGGTAGCAGACCTCTGGAGTCTGTCTGGCAAATATTTGAGAGGTTTGAGAGGTGATGTGGGATGGGGGAGATGCAGTAAATGGTCAGGTTTGTCCCTGGGAAGCAAGGAACATTCTTAGTAGACTGTGCAGGTGCTGACTTGGCTTTGCTGCAGTCTCTCCTGCTAATTGTAGCCCCAAGTTCAGGGAAGTACACTTCTCTTTGCTCTGCACTCTTACTAGACTTCCTTCCCTGGTTTTTCCTAGTGCCAGCCTTCCCATCTTTTCCTGCAGCAGTTCCCTTTCGTAAGAGTCTTTTGGACAGAGTACTAGAGCCATAACAGCACCTCTGGTATGTGAGGCAACATGAACATCCTCAAACCTCATCCCCTTCCATGACTGTTTCCTAATGCAGAGAAAATGTAAAGAAAATGTGCCCAGCTTGGAAAGCACTTCAGCACAACTGGCTGCTCAGAGTCTGCTTGGAATAAGAACCATGTGTGCTTGTCCTGTTTTTATACTTCTCCGCTTCATCTGCTTTTGGTCCCCATGAGGGATGAGTTACTGGGCTAAAATAAACATTTGGTGTATTCCAGTCCAACTGATCTTATACTGGAAAGAAGGCACCTATTTAAAGGGAGTTAACCTGTAAGACAAAATTCCAGAAATTTATCTAACTATCCCTCTGCTAAGCACTGTCCTGCTGGAGACTTGGTGCTGATTTATGTCATGATTTTACAGACAATTTAATGGCTTGATGGGAGTGGTGGGCAGCTGCACTCCTTAGTAGTTAATGATAAACTTTGATCTGCAGTACTCTTGACTTGATGGTGTTTAATGTGCTTTGCTGACCTTATTTGCTGGAAGGCAGTGATCAAAATGTTCACCAAGCCTGCCTAACTATAATCTAATCTTTAGATTCTATACAGTGTGTAGATTCTACCAACTGTGTGGCTGGTTGAATTTTTATTTTGTAAAACACTGATTTTGATGTGAGAATCCCTTGGGACAAATGAATGTTTTCTGGCTTTGTTCTTCTGTCACTGAAGCTTTTGATTTTTGTTTGTTTCCTCCAGCCTAATGCTTTATTGCATATTGTGGAGGTGCAGACCACCAGCTGTTGGACCACAGGCCTTTAAATCATCCCCAGTTGTGTCACATAACTAGGTAAAATTCTGCTAGTGAGATGTCCTGCTGCCTGTAGTGAAGATTATACACTGCATTTTGGTGATCTGTAAATCAGGAAAGGGATGTCACTGCTAAGCTGCTGGTGATGTGTAGAAATTATCTTACAGTATCAAAAAGCTAAAAGTTGTCAGGGAGCACTAACTCAGTGGCAGACAAGTCTGTGTGCTCTGACTGCATGCAAGGTTTCTCCCTTTCCCAGTATTGACCCCTGGATATCTTAGAAGTTCTATTTGTGTTCTCTTTTCAGGTACTGGTACCTTGGGCCTTTGAAAACCAAAGCAGCTCACTTTTTCAGTACAGTTAAGGTAAAAATTAATTGTGAGAAAAGTGTATGGGAAATGAAAAGGCTGACTTTGCTTTGTATAATTTATCTGCAAGTTTTTGTGAAGGATTCTGGTAACAATATAAAATGGCAGTGAAACTCGACTTGTTAAAAAACCTGCCAGTTGATAGACTTATTTCAGAAGAGATGAAAGGGAAGAGAAAGGCTTTTTTTTTAAAATTCCCTTTACTGAAGATCTGTTGCTGCAGGATCACCAGGGGGAGCCAGTAACCCCCTGTGAAACTAGTGAGCAGCAGTGGTGGTGAAAATTAGCACCTGAGTGCTCAGTCACCTTTTCTCAACAGCCTTTCTTGTGATAACATTTCACTCTGATTTATTCAGCCGGCAATATAATTAGGCTGCTCATGCACATTGATAATCAGGCTTCCTTGTGGGGTAAAATGAACATGAAGATTAATAGCTTATATCTCACCTTAAACTTTTCTGTCGCTTAAAATCCTGGAAAGATTAAAATTTGATCTACATGAAAGGTGAGGCAGTTTCATACACGTGCTTTTCCTCTTCTCTGAACATACAAGGATCCTAATGACAGGCTGTGGAAATACCCAGGAGCTGGTGCAGTAGATCAGACTGTGCAGTCTAGTCATGCTGTCTGTGATAGTGCCAATGATTCTTTTATAGGAAGCTCCTGTGAAGGAGAGTTTAATTGTAATGTATCCATGAAAGTTGGGTTGTTTGGTTGTTTGTTTTTTTAAATCCCCCCCCCATCCCCAGGAAATTGGAGATGATGAATGTGTGCTGGCATTCTAGGTAGGCACCTCCTCTTGATTTCACTCCAGCCCCCTTCTAAGTTTTGTTGAGTCCTTAGTCTCAATGATAGTGGATTTCAATGGTGAGCTATTCACTGTACATTAAAAAGATCTATTTAACCTGCTGAAAGTTGAAGAGAAGTGGCCACTTTTTATGCTATTACAATAGAAAAGTTTCTTCCTGAACTCTCCTAATTGTGGTATTTATTGGTTTATGAGCTTCTTATGTTATCGTTTTGTTAATTTCTGTAAGAAACAGCACCAGCCTGTTCAACTTAATCTCTTCCTGGCTTGTCTTTGCTGCTGTACACTTCACATTTTCTGGTTTTGCTGTAGCTGTCTTTTGAAACAGGATGACCTGTAACTGAAAAAGTGTAATGGAAAAGGGCTCACCTCTGGTACTGGTAGGGGCATTGTTCTGAGGTGTTATCATCTAGTCTTAAACATACAGGCTTAAATTATCACAGCATTGCTGCTTTTCCCTTTAATCATTAATATTTATTGTTTGTGTATTGCCCTACTGATACAACCTCTGTTTGTCCTCTTTATTATGTAAGTATGATAGTGGAGCCCTTCCTTGCTGTCAGAGGTGTGAGGTGAATTAGCTTAACGACCCGTGCTCTATAATCCAAAACTACTTCTAAAGTTTTGTGCATAGAAAAATAATTATATTGAGTTCACGTGGGCTCTTGGCTGTTTTGTTTTACTATATATGTTTAAAAATCTATTAAATGATTCCCTCCCTTAGTCCTATGTTTGGAGCGTTTCAGAAATTACTTTCAAAACAAGAGGAAATATCACCAAGAATAACGTGTTAGTACTTTTTTTCCCATTTTTTTTTCCCCCTGACATGCTTTTTAAAGTACACGTGACTTGCCTGAAGACCTATTGTATTGCTGTCTATAAGCACCTGGCTATCAGATCAGATCTGGATTGTTTGAGTTGTTGGAGAACAAAGACCTGCCAGGTTTTAGTGCCCCCCGGCTGCACACAGCACTGTCTTTGTCTGTTTGCACTGGATCCTGCTGTGCTCTTTGAAGTTGCCTTTGTGCCGTGCAGAGACCAATTGTACTTTCAGACATTAATATTGACCTTGCTGGTTTTGGTTGTTCCCTCCAGCCAGAAGCAGCTGTGTCACCCTGCCGCACATCAGCAGCAAAGAAAACATCCCTTTACCCTCTGCTCATAGAGGGAAAAATGCCTCACTTTGTGTGGGGAAGGAGTAGATTAGTGGACTTGGTGGACTGTGGGTAATCTTTTGGAAGCTGCAAAAAAATGTCATCTCACATATGGATCTGGAGGCTGGAGACCACAAAGTAGGCTGAGGCAGTGGTGGGGCCTGGGTAGATCTCAGGAGTACTTGGGAGCACAGAATAAATAGGCTACAGCACTAAACTAAAGGTAGGTGCTAAAATGCCTTTTATCTTCTGTCTTTTCGTGTAAACTCAAGGAGTGGCCTCAGAAACATCAAGCTGCTCTCATGTATGTGGGTCCAACTGAGAGACCTCCAGAAGAGCCAGAGGAAAAACCATCGAGACCTCCTTTATATGTGAGGCTTTACAGACGACTTCGCTCCTACTGGTCACCGCCAAAAGGTGAGATGTGTCTATTTTGCCATAAAATCACAGACAGGCTCTACTCCTCTATTAGATTGAGGGGGAGGTTTGTAGTGGGGGTGTCTGCTTTACTTTTGTGCTCTTTTTTAATTACTATTATTTATTAATTTATTTTTATTTGTGTTTTTTTTAATTTCTTTATTAAAACTGTGATTTCGTGAAGATAGTTACGGTGGTATCTGCCAGAAATGGAACAGAGTAGTCCTGCCAGTGCTTGTGGTCTCTTAAACAAAGATTCATTTGTAAAGAACCCAGGGCATTCCCTGGACTAACAGTTGCTTCCCATTGCTGTGGAGGCCTCCTTAGGGAAAACTTGGCACTTCTGGGTGGGCTTCTTGAAATCTTCTGGTGGAATGGCTTCTCAGTGAGCTGGTGAGAGAGGAGCAGCCCTTGTTTTCCGGGGTGGGGAGAGTTGCTGACACAGAGCAACAAATGTTACTTAAAATAGAACAGTAAAATTTGGGCCCCGAGTTTCTCATAGTAACATTGATGTTTCATTGTTCATAATGATCAGTGCAGTTGATTCCACTTAATGATTTATGTCTTCTCCTCTTGATATGCAGAAGTTCCCCGGGAGGTAGCCCCGGAGGACTGGGAAGAACTGAAGCTATCCACCATTGAGCTTTCCATTGCAACTCGGAACAGGCAGCTTGATCTAACAGTAAGACCATAATATAACTGGATTCCAAATGCTGGCTGCTTACAGAGTTTTCCTTTCTTGTTAAACTCCCATTCTTGTGTCTATATAAATAAAACTTGCTGCCTCATGCAAGGAGAGGCCCATGACTGAATCCTGGAACGGGCAAGTTTCAGAGCCAGTGTAAAAGCACTGGAGATGGATGTAAAACTGGGATGCAGTGGGATCAGGAGGAATTTGTACAAAGACTGCCCATGAGAAAACAAAGCATCAAAACAGACATTTGATTCCTTCTTCAGCATGTGAGAGTGATTCTGTTTGATCAACCAGTGCTAGAAGGAAGTTGAACCTGAATGTCTGCCTGGAATTTTGTCTTTTTCTCTCTTCTTTTTGACTTGCAGAGCAAAGAGTTAAAAAGAACTAGGACTAGGGGAAGGACAGGGGCTACATTTATTAGAAAGAAAGGAAATGCAGGTTGTTGTGGAAGAGTAGAACCAAGCAGCAAAGGAACTGTCCCTGTCATAACCTTCTCAACCTATTCATGCTGTTCGTTCATCGTTTTAAAACCCGTCTTTGGCTTATGCCTGTGTTTTGGTGCAATTTTACTGCTATGAAAGCTGTTTGGGTAGATGTCAGTCTTTGATTTTACTGGAAAACACTAACACAGTGATCCCATACTGGTGAGCTTCCCTTCTTGTCCTCCTCATGGCTGCAGGAAACCATTGCCAGTACACCCAGAGTAACAGGAGGTGTTGAACTTACCGCAACTTATTTCTTGCTCAGAATTTACGGTCTTTAAGAACATGAAAATTTGAGTTACATTGACATGTTATCTTATAGGATCAGAAAAAAAAAGAAAGGTAGGCAAATATAGTCTTTAAAATTTTTTCCTGTTTTCTCCTTAGAATGTACCACATGAACTTTAGTTTCTCAGTCCTCAGAGGCTTATGATTTGGACTGTCAGTGTCTTAGTAATGGCAGAAGCTAGACAGAGAGTGGTATTTGTTGTTTTAGTGGTTTCTAGATGGCACTTGAACGCAAGAGGTTTGGTTGCTGTACTGGGTTGGAGTCACTGATGTAAAGTAAAAACAGACCTTCCAAGAACTGAAAAGTATCTGATTGCCACAAACTAGCCCTTATGTCTCTTCTGTTGTTTTGTTGGTTTTGGGTTTGTTTGTTTTGTCTCCTTTATGCCTTCAAGAGACACTTTAATACTCACTGGTATTGAAAAAAAGAAGTGACAGAGTTCTCAGGTCTCTTGCATAGTTTAGAAAAGTGGACAAGTTTATGTTAGGCCAGTTGTACTTCTCTGTTGCTAGATCTGGAAGTATCTTGATGCTGCATCTTTCTTTTTTTTTGTAAATCTGTGGACCCCTTACAACTGCTTATAACTCCCACTCTTGAAGCCATTGTCCCTGCAGCCATCAAGGCTGAACAGCAGCTCTCGCAAATCGATACCAGGCCATGTCTGCCGACTACTGTCAGCCACTCCTGTCTCTCTGTCTCACCTTAGATTCATGCCTAGGCTGCCCTCTTGATAAAGCCATACAGATGCAGCTCAGACAGTGCCAAGACTACCTCTGCAGAACAGCAAATAAACCAAGTTATACTAATAGATGCATTTATTTTTACTTTTGTCATTTTGATTGCATCTGCACTAGGACTTCTGCCAGGACACAAATGTTAAAAGAAATAAAAAGAATAAATTGCATCTTAATCAAAGTTGCTTTCCTGGAAAAGGCTTTACTGTATACTCAGTTTAAGGGCAGGCTATAAATATGAAAGAAGCTAAGTAAGGAGTTTAAAGGATTGATACCAAGGCCACTTTGATTTCCAATTTGTATTGTTTAAAATTCTCCTACTGTAGTGTTCGGTGGCCAAATGTTGTGTCATTGTACTGTTGCTGAAATTCACGAAAGACACGTTGAATAGAAATAAATTAGTAAACCTAAGGGTTCTGCTACTGTCTTTAAATGTAACAAGAAGCCAAATGTGTGACTCGTTATTTTGCTTCTTGTGGTGTTTATCTGAATATTCATCAGTGGGAAAATACTGTCTATAATTTATAGACAGAAAAAATTATGAAATGCAGAAATGCATCTTCCGAGTCCTTTTGTGGGACAAAGGACTGGGCATTGTGTGAGCATATTGCAGTCTCATGGGTGTGGCATTTTCAAATGTTAACTGCTTCATTTCTGAATCCTTTTTTGCACAGCGCACTGAGGACTTCATGGACATTTGCATTGAAGCAGAGACTGTCAGCAAGGGAGAGTTTGTTCACAGAGGGTGAGTGTGGGAAGGCTGTGAAAAGGTGGCAATCTCTGTGTGAGTGGGAACAAATTCTGAAAAGCTGATTTTCTCTAATCTTGTGCTGCAAAGTTCAGAAGCAGAGGGACTGCAAAGGACACCAGTTGGTAATGCTTCATGAGGGTTAATGATTTTGTCCTTAAAATTCTTCCTCATTTTTTCTTTCTGTAAACAAGGCAGAACTCCAGAACCTGGAGTGTCAGTATCCAGGACCTGGAGTTCTTCCTAGCTTCTGAGTTTGCTATACCTTTCGTCTTTTCCCCTGTTGCTGCAAGTCAGTACTAGTTGTACATTGCTGTCATAACCAAGTTTTATAGATGGCCATGCAGATTTATCCCCAGAATCTTTTAGCTCTGGCCCATTGGATTGAGAGGTGGGTCACAGAGCTGACAATATCTGTACTAGTGATTCCTGGAATTTTTGAACTGTGATTAGACAGGCCCTGCTGTCTAAGGGAAAAGCTTCCTTAACTCAATAAGTCTTGTGAGAAATTAGGTCTGAGCTGGAAGAACTTTTGGAAGATGTGCATTGAAACAGGGACTTTAGGCACATGTCTTGGTGCTGCTTTTATGTGGAGTAAGAAGGCTGCAGGTATGAAGAAGCAGCATGTAGAGAAAAAGTGAATGTTGTCTTGTTCCTCCTGCTCTCACCAGATGCAAATCAGAGCTGTCTTTTCCAGTTCCTTCATACAGTCCCTCTCACAAATACATTGCGTCTTTAGTGCAGTTTGTACCAGCAGCAGATTTTCCTGCTAAATCCAAGTGTGCTCGTCTGCCCATTTCCTTTTTATTTGCTGTTTTCTAAGTCTTAGAGCTCCCTCTAGTGAAATCAGTGGGAGGATTTCAGCACAGTTTTACCGGTTTTGTCATCACTTTATTAATTCCTGCTTGTATCTCTTGTTTATGCTACTAATGGCAGCTGCAGGCCCATTATTTGGGCATCCCACAAGCCTTAGTGGGAATGGAATCTTCTGACCTAGGCGTACACTGTAGGTCAGGTTGTCCTCCTACAACTGCACGAGCCATGTGGACCATAGGTTGATTGGCACTGAAATCTTGGCTTTGAAAGCTACAGGGGGAAAGGAGGAGGAAATTCTCCCATTTAGAAACCAGAGGAATCTGGTCTCCTAAAGGAGGGAGACAAAGGAGGTGCTATGCTGGGTTCTCAAACACTTCACTAGTAGAAAAAACGTAGATGAACTCGTGTGATTTAAGGGAGGCCTATCCAAGTGTATTCCCGCTGTAAATAATGTCTCCCATGGACTGGACATGCTCCATGCAGTATTTTCTGACTGCAGTTACAGTGTCATGCTGAAAAAGTCTCTCATGAGCATTAACATTGCCCTGCTGTCTAGAGCAAATTAGAGGCAGTACCAAAGCTTTGAGCTGCTGTTCATGCAAAGTTCAGAGAAAGAAGCTCTTTTGATTAAATAGTGCCCAAAAGTCTACAGGTAACAAAGAAAGAGGGGTGTATGGGGTGGGGGAGCAGCAGGAGGGACTAGTTAGTTGTACAGAGAGGAGTCAGAGCAGAAAAAATGTGCCCTGTTTGTGCAAGGCAGAATCAGGGTGTTCAGAGATCCCACAGTGCCTTTGGCAGTGTGCTCTGAGTCAGGCCCATTATCAGAGGCTCCCCATTGCACAGCACCAACAGGGTTTGTCTTTGGAAATGTGTTTTTCTTCTCTTTTTAATGCATAGTTTAAACTCCACCAGAATTTGGGGGGGGTGGGGAGGGATGGTGAAAAGGTTTTTAGGGAAAATACCTTATTAGTGCAGATATCAAAGGTTTTTTATATTGAAGAGGGCACTGACAGGAGCTGATGAGAACTGATGGGTCACACAGAGGAAACTGCACATCCAGCAGGAAACTACCACACAGGTTCAGGCAGTGTGTGTATGTGGGAATGCATCATAGTGCTGGAGGGCAACAGCTGATGGATTTCAAAGAAAAGAGCAGGTCATCCCAGGTGTATAGAAGTGCCCTCTGGCTGTGGATCAGATTTGTGTGAACAAGAGCATTTGCAGCAAGGGTAGAGCTGATGTTTAAGATAAGGTGGGGGAAGAAGAGGTGGTTTACAATGGAGTGCTTACTACGAAGTGCTGGAGGGATGGAAAGGTATCATCAGTAATCCACATTTTGTTAGCCAGCTTAGATTCTGTGTATGAAAGTTTTGAGAGCTGTCACTCCAGGGCATGAATACAGTTACCAGCTACAGTGCAGAAGACTGGACTGTTGTTGGGTTTTTTTTTGTTAGAGGTCTTCCTCTGAATCAGTTAACTTTGGCCACTTCTAGACATGAAAACTAGGTTACAGTTGTGTGTTATGTGCAGTAGGTGTTGTGGTTCTCTCTCTGCCTGTATTTTTTTGTGATTCAGCATATGGAGTGGGATGCAACAATCATTGGAAACTGTTGCTGTTAAACTTTTCAGTCTTGTTCCTATTTTACGTTGCTGTCATCTTGAGTAAGGAACGGAGTCTAACGGAAATGGATTCTGACCCTTTTATACTGGGCCACTAGAGGGGCAGTCACTGCAAGTGGAGTTGTGTCTATTTGCTTCTTACCAGTGTTCTCCTTTGACTGATCTTTATTTCCGTGTCTTGGCTCTTTTGTCTTGACCCCATAATTGCATCTCTGTAGAGCTTCGTTTGCTTTCATTGACCAAAAAAATCTGCTTGCTCACCAGAGTGCCACATCTAGGACCTTATATGTTAAAATCCAAGCAGGTTAAACTTTAAGTGGGTAATCTTGCTGCTTGTTTGTACAGCACTGTATAAACTGACAGCATTGCATGCCATTAATAATTTATAATTTATATTGCTGGAGGATGTTTAATTCCCTCACAGTCACTCATCAATCTTTTATTCTATACATATTTGATTAAAACCAAATTTTCCACAGTTAATATTGCTTCTGTCCTTCCCTGCCCTTTCCTTTGGTATCTTAGCTTTTCTTCCTTTGCCTTTGATTATCATCTCCTGTTTCAACCCTTGCTTCTCATGCTCTTTCTCTGGGATTTTCTGTGATCTTAAGAATCAATTGCATTCCTCTGGGCATAGAAGACGTGGTGTATAGGGAGATTCTGACATGTTTTTGTGAGTTCTTTTCTTTGGGCAATATATAAATAGACTCTTCTTTCATATCAATCAACGAATAAATGCAAAAGCTGGGGACAGCTGGCATTCCTGTCAGAGGAATATCTGATAATTCTGCCATGCTTGAGAGCAGTGATGTATTAACACTGTTATTCTCTGCTGTCCTCTTTGCTGTTTGTGTGTGTGGAGTTTGTATGCCCATACTGAGAGGTTACTGCCTGGGGTGCAGTGACCCTTTGTCAGTGGTCACTCAAAAGGTGATGTGTGTTGTCAGTGAGGAGGCCAGAGGCAGGTCAGCACACCCAGGAGCTTGTGCTCACTCTGCAGCAGCACACATGGGGAGGGGGAATCACAACACCCTGTTCTGTAACAGCTGATGCAGTGACAGGACAGCATCCTAAGTCTTGAAAAAGACCCTGTGGCACTTGCACCACCAGCTTTCTAAGACGGGCAGCTGCCTTCTATGTTGCTCCCATTTGACATCACAGAAGTAGGAAAGAAAGCAGCACTTCTCCAAATACAGTACATAAGTAAGAATGTTATAGGCACCATAAGAGAGACACTGACAATACTGGATATGTTATTTAGAATGGATAAAATTTGAGTTTCTGGGGGTTTCTTCACAAGAATTATATAAAAGCAGTTGGTAAGAAATGTAATTCTGGCTGGTGCTGATGTGAAGAGTGGGGGTTTTGTTTGTTTTTAGATGGTAATTTAGTGGTTCGATATAACTATAATTCTTTCATTTTTTTGGCTTAGAGTTGTGTAGGTTGCTGGTAAGTTATGTGGGTGTATGGGATATGAGGACATAGCTTTCACTGCAGGAAGTGAACAATTCAGCATGTAAGTGACAAGCACAAAACTCTGTTCCATGTTCAAATATGCAAAACTATGTTCAAATACATTCAATGAGCTCAGAGCAGAAGCTGAGTGGAGGCTGTCAGTGCATACTGATATGTATTGACAGCATCAGAAGAGGGAAGGTTTATTTTACTTTCTCACAGTTAAACTCACAAATATTTGTATATATATATATATATATATATATATATATAACCTCTGAGTTTACCAAATGCATAGTGTTTTATCACCCCACAATGAAATGTCATCCCTAAAGAAGGCTGTTTCCTTTCTCTCTTTCTGAGTGAAACATGTCCTTACCTTGCCTCTCTTTTGGATTGAACAGAAGTCAAAAGATGCGTGACCCACATACGTGTCCTGAAGGGAGTCAGTGCATCCAAGCCAGCAGATGCATCTTGCAACTTCCAGAGGTGAGAAACAGAGCTGGAAAACTTTGTCACTTTATTTCCTTGTACCCTTTGATGCTGCTGCACATTAGGAAATCCCTGTTCCAAATCTGGGAGATGGATTACACTGAGACGCTCAGTTCCACAGTGCAGCAACTGAGTCCCTGGCCAGGAAAAACATACTGGAGTTCCCCAGCTGCTCTTTAAACCTGAGGGAGAGCTTCATTCTGACAGTAAATAGTGGCAGATCGTGTATGAAGAAAGTGATGATGGTTGTAGAGGGTATTGCATATACACAGGAAATTCCACCTGAATATGAGGAAGAACTTCTTTGCTCCGTGAGTGACCACACAACTGGAACAGGTTACCCAGAGAGGTTGTGGAGTCTCCCTCACAGAAGATACTAAAGAATTGTCAGGATGTAATCCTGTGCTCTAGGATGAGCCTGCTTGAGCAAGGAGGTTGGACAAGATGATGCACTGTGTTCTTTTCCAACCTGACCCATTCTGTGATTCTGTGACACACAGATCTCCTTAGCACTGAAGACAGGTACGTTTTGCCCTAAAAGGGATTGTGCTGTAGAGAAGAAGATAAATATTAGAGGCTTTATGGAGACCAAGGAGGGTGAGACAAGGCAATGGGGCTCAGAGCAGAACAAGGAAGTGCCTCAGAACTTTGAACTGATGAGGCTGAGAAAGAAGACTAAATTGTGCCTGCCTGTGTAATTTAAATTCATCTTTTTCTGCCTCTGGGACAGAAGCAGCTGTTATTGCAGCCCTGGGGAGGATAGTTTCTTGTTTTTACAAGGACATGAAATCAATCCCCTAGATAATTTCTATCTTTGAGTGATATATTATTTGGCAAAATAATTCTATATTAAGGGTGAATAGAATGTGCCAGAAGGTGAAAAAAATCTATTGCTACGAAGTGAAAATCATGAATTATGATGTCATGATTAGCTAGCATCGAATATAAATAGTTGCATCAAATTCATATCATGGCAGTTTTGTGATTCTGAAGGAATACTCTGGAGAGCTCGGCTAAGTATGGCTGAGCCGTAAGTAAGGGCTGTGGTCTAAAATGAGCTGTTCCTCCTGCGGCTGCTGCTCAGAGTGTGTGTGCATGGCACAAAGCAGTGCTGTTCCACTCCATGAGCCAACTCCAATGAAGGAACTGGAGGCAGCTCAGAGGAGCCTCACTAGCTTTGCAGAGAAGCAGAATATGTTGATCCAGCTGGACTGCTTTGCTGTACCTCTGACTTCCAGAACCTATACTAGTTCTGGAGTCCAGTGCATGCAAAGCAGTCGCTGAATTTGTTTTTAGGTAAAGTCAGCCTGCCATTTTGATGAATGGTTTTAATCACTGGTGACTTTATCAGCGTTAAAGAAAACACTTAAGAAAATTCTACTGCTGAGTAATTCCTGAACAGTGAATTACTTTGCATCTCATGTTTCAGATCAATATAGTGAAACAATACCAAAAGGGGTTTGTAATATGGATTTAATAGGAGTTACTTAACAGGCCCTTCTTTGGATTAGCTTGTGTCACCACTGGCAGACTAAGATCTAAGCGTCTATAATTGAGGTTCCAATAGCAAAGAATCCTTCAGTATAAACAATGTGGGTCATTAAAGCTTCTTAGCATTTAATTATCACTAATTAGCAACTAAGTGAGGTAACATCTTATGCAATGGACTCTTAATATAGTGAAGGATAGCTCTCCCTGTGTCATGGAGAGCAGATGGGCTGGAAGACAAAGGGAGGGGGGTTGTCCTGGTTGAGACTCAGCTAAATATTCAGCTGTAGTCTTCTGGCAAAATCAGGTATCAGTGTTAGAGTACTGCTGAAATAACATGCTTGGTGTTTAACTGTTGTGTGCACACAGGGCACTGAGGGATCCTTTGGCATTGATAACGAGGAGTATGAAGCTATGCCTGTGGAGGTGAAGCTGTTACCCCGGAAACTCCGGTTCTTCTGCGATCCCAGAATGAGAGAGCAGTTGCTCCATGCAGCAGTACAATGAGAATCCATGAGAATCCAGGGGCCAGTGTTTACCAGTCTTACCAGGGTCTCTTCAAGGTTCATGAGACCTCACTAACTTGATTAACCCCAGCAGACTAATAAGCCTTTTGGCTACTTCTACGCACAAGTGGATGATTTGACTGGTCTCAAAGGGGTTAAAAATGCAAATGAAAATTCTGAGAAATGCATGTTAACTTGATGGCATCTTTTTTTTCCCCCCCTCCCTCTGAGAAGTCATCAGTGTTCCACTTACAGCACTGCAGGCCGAGTGCTGTGTGCCAGATGCTACTGCTGTAGTGCAATTGTATATTAAAGTAAAACAAAAGCACACTTGTTCTTGTGTTCTAAGAGTTTAGGACTGCTTTACCTATGTATAAATCTGGCAAAACCTGGGATCATCCTGGAAAAAAAATTATTTTGGGGAGAGTGATGCTAAGGAATTCTGTCAAGTGTTGGAATTGCCACATTAAAACAGGTGGTTTGTTATCCACTCTGTCACAAAATAAATTGGAGATCGGTGATACCAAGCTTTGGAGCAAGTTTAAAAATTCCCCATATGTATCTGGATATTTATGTCAGTCTTTTTCAGCTTGCCAGATTCAACAACACAGAGTTCCGGTAATAATAAAGTAGAAATATATTCCTTTGATCAAGTTTAGGCATATTACACAGAAGCAAATTGGAAAACATCATTGACCCAAAGCTGTATGAAGGACATGTGGAAAGACTCTTTAACAAGCTGAATGAGTCTTTTTTTGTAAGTATTCCTTTTATTCCTGTAGTAATATAACACAAATAAGGGCATCCTAATAATTTTTATTATTCATTGTGTCTGGTTGCTCTCTTCTAATGTAAACAGTGCTCACCACTCCATATGCAATCTATATCCCCTTGAGCCTCAGTACCTTAATTAGTTTTGTTGCTTTTCTGAGATTTTGTTTATAGCTTTTCTTTAATTGCTGAAAGGAAATATTGACTTAGGCAAGGTTATGTGTTGCCCTTCTCATTGTAGCTTATAAATTCACATGATTCTGCCTTGCTTACTGGAAGAAAAAGAATTCATTCCCCTTATTTTTCTGATGTGACTTGCTCGTCTGTAGTCTCTGTGTTACACTGTGATCTAGTCTAAGGTTATCTGCTGACTCTCTGCTGTAATCAAAATACGAACTTTAGTGACTTGACTTCCAGCTGCTTTTTTTAAAGACTGCATTCTTGGCTACACGCTGCTCCACTAGCATCCTCTGCTGGAGACTTCATAAAGGAAAAATGCCTTGAAATGGGAAGCAGGGTTGGGTTTCTGCATGATGCTGGAACTACACTGATTGTTCTCCTTCCCTGGACTATTCTGCGGAGAAACTAGTTACCTAAACTAGATGATCTTCAAAGCCCCTTCCAACCCTAACCCTTCTTAACTAAGATCTCAGGGAGTAGAAGCCTGCTAGTTCTTTTCAGTAGTTATGCTGGTGATAGGTCCTGTTTTGTGCTGTCTTTCTTTTGGTTTGCAGCAATTAAGAGTGCCCAGTGGACCCCTGGGTCACTCTCCAAGGAACATGTTGGCTGTGCTCTGCTCTTTTTGCTTGCCACAGAGACACCTGGGACATTGCCCTGCAGCCACTGGCTCATTCAGAGTCAGGGGCAATTCCCACCAACAGAGTTTTTCCTCAAGCTGATATTTCTGTAATAAAATCAGCAGTGTTTTTTCTCAAGTGGCAGGAAAGACAAGGCAGCAGCCATTTCAAAAAGGTAAGCTTTAATTGTTTTTAAAAATACCCATGTTTTTAGTAAGCAGTTTCTCTACAGAGCCACAGGCCTATGGGAGCAACCACACATCTGCAAGATGCAAACAACTTTAGAGCTGTTAGAACTACAACCAGCCTGCTGCAAGGGGGGAGATGATAAGAACTAGCTCCTTGTTCATCTGTAGCATTTTACAGGGAAAACAACTAGTTCTCTTCCATAGCATCAGATGCACAGCTCCCATTGCAATTGTGATTCCTTGCTTGAGGGTAACCAAGAGCTCCCTTCAGAATTGGTGCTGTTAATGCTATTCTGATGTTAAAGTACCAAGTATCATCTGAGACACAGGCTGCTATTTAAATATTCATATCGGCATAAGTTGAGTAGCTTGTATAAATATCCCTCAAGTAATTTTCCTCCTTCTGCAGTTCAGGGTTCTTCCAGTATGGGGTGGTTCTAGACCTCTAAACTGCAATGTTCAGAGGGGAGGTGTGAGGCAAACATTACATAAAATAAGCAAGGGCTGAACCCCCTATCTGCAGTGTTGAGAAGAGGACTCAGTTCTCATGTTTCTGTCTGACAGCAACATAAAAAAACCTTCTTTGTACAAATTCCCAAGACAGGAAGGAGAAGTAGAATCCTAGGTCCCACTAATGAAAACACTCTGGTTTAAACCTACAGTCCATTTTAGGAGGGCTTAAAATACTGTAACAAAAATAAAAAGGAAGGATAACAACCTAATGATGGACCAGCCCAAGGCACCTGTTTATTTTGACCACAATTAAACATTCCCATTTAAAGGGTATGTTGCATTATCCAAGACCTGAAATCTTAGTTCACAGGTATTTAGTACCACCTGTTTTAGACAGACAGATCACATTGTTAAGTCAGTACATTTGACTCCCTCAAAATGGGCATTTGTGTTGACTTCTCCTATAATCACTATACCGCTGGCTTTGGGGAGGTGGAAAGAAGACAGCAACTAACTTAGAAGTAAAGGCTAGGACAAGAGTTTGGGTTAGTGTGCATGCTTTGTACCTAGACTTTTATGTTAGGACAGAGTGCTCTCGCCCTGCTATTCCAGAAACCCCTGCCTTTCCACCTCCCAGAGCAAAGCTTGCCTGTCCCTTGCATAGTCTGTCACTAAGAGGGCCACAGCTACTCCCAGCTTTTTGTTCATTAACTTGGACAGTTCTTAAAAAGAGGGAAGTATTACCATAACCCTGCTTTACAGAATAACCTGTACAGTAAGATATTTTCTCTTGAAAAGGTGGTACAACTTTCTTCTGCCCCTAAGGGTGCTGGACAGGCAAGGACTCCTGTGACAGATGACCATTAAGATACACTGCAGTAACTCCTTCATATCTGCTGGAAAAGAAGGTCTGTAAGACACATCTGAATTCTGATTCCATAAAGTGCCTTTCTCCAAGTATCCATTATAATTCTTAATTGGTTCTATGCAGCTTGGCCTAACCTAGCAGTAAGAAGACTTTTGGATGATTTAAATGTCTGGTGTGTGTCCCTTGTTCAGACTGCAAACCTAGCTTTTACTTCTCTCCCAAACTTTACCTCTCAATCTAGGTAGTAAAAGTAGTAATAATTCATTGCTCAGTGATACATTTCTAGTGCAATTTGACTTAAGATACAGTTATGAGGCTCTTGTTCTCCTGGTTAAACTTAAGCAAGTATCAGCTGAGAACCTGCAATGGCTGTACAATGACTGGGACTGCCTACCAGGGCACAGGATAACCCTGGTTACTGTAACCACCATTCAACCTGGGCTCTGATCACAGCAACTAACGAGGTGTTACACCAAAGAAACAAAAGGCACCACTGTAAAGGCAAAGTACTTTGAACGGAGGATTTCATACTAATCAGCAATATCCTAAGTTATGCCACACTTTCCTCCCTCTTTTAATTCAAAATAACCAGATAATTGTCTCCCATCCAGCTGCTAGCATTCAGCTGTGTATTTTAAATGTCTGCACTTAACTGTTTTACCTTGAATTATGTTATCTCCTGGAACGATAAGACTCAGTTAAACTGGTTCCATGCAAAACCAGCCTCATGAACAGGCCTAAGCCATAACCATTTGTTCGTACAGTGTACCCACTTATCAAGCATTTTCCACATGCAACGACAGTAAAAGCAGTGTCTTTTAGAAAAGGAGTGCAGGTGGAAAGTACTTTTGCAGCAATTTAAATAAGGAAGCGTTAGGAGAGAGAAATCTTTTTGTTCTGTCAGGCAACTTCCTGACTTCTGTAGCAGTCACCTGGCAAAAGAGGCTTGGTAGAGAAGCAAAATTACAAGGAAGAGCAGATGTATGTAGCATGGGTGTTACTTCTACGATAATCTGCTTGCTTTGATATTTCTGCACCCTTACTACTGCTAAAAACTGAAGACCCAACTTCTGGAAAACAGAGGTTTAATGAATGTCAAATGGTAATTTCTGGAGGTTCTGCTCAGTGGTGTCTAGCAGTGCTGTGTACTGGGCCTCATGTTCTAACAGCTTGTGAACATGGTGCCCTAATGCAGGGGTGTTGGAACGCCTCTGACTGCAGTGGCTGTAAAATGTCAACAAGTTTAAGGTTTGTGGTCTGTTTAGTTTAGCAAAAGAACTACTGACAAAGAGAATAGAAAGTCATTAATAGCTGACCACAGCTGAACTATGTAGCAAACCTTCAAGAAAGTCAGAGGAAAATTTCCTAGAGACTAGTTTGAATTTCTTTTTTTTTTTGGTGGAAGTGACAGCACTACATTGCCAGCTGTATTTCCTCAGGGACTGTATCTGCAGGCAGCATGTTAAAACTAAAGTGGAAGTTAGATAACAAAAGCTTGGAGATTGTGGGTCACTTTTATGCTTGAGGTGTCAATTTAAAAACAAAGCTATTTCTTAAGCAAAGAGACTGGTCTTTCCATTAAATGATACTCAGCTGTTTTTACCTCTTTCCCCATTTTTTCTCTGCAACCTCCTAAGGATGATGATGTTGCAGTTGTGAGCAATTGACAAGCAGCAGCATGTTTTCTTCTGTACAAAAAACATCCAAAGCCTTGAAAAAGAAGGCAGGGGAATGACTGCTCAGAGAAAGGAACATAATGTGCTGAAGCTCATACCAATGAACTCTGCAATGAGCCTGGTGAGGCTCCTTGTCCCACACCTCAGTAAAACTCCACAGCAAGCAAAACTACCCCTTTGCTGCAGACAGCCTTCAAGGAAAAACAGGACGTGCCAGCCTCCTCCTTTCCCGAGGGAAACAATCCACAGAGGTCTACTTAGGGAACATTCGCTCTACCTGTTTTAAAAGGTGCTCACTTGCTTTAAAGCAGGTGAGACTTTGGTGGTTCAGGCTCTGTGTCGTCCTATAAACTGCAAGGACAAATATATCAGCTACAGTTTGCATTTCTACAAACTGCAGAAAGCCTCCAACAGTGCTGAAGTCCATAATGGTGGAAGCAGCAACTAATTAGCCACAGTTCAGGAAGAACAGTGAGTTTAAAGGTGATGCTACTACTGGCTGAAGGATTTGGGGCAAAGCAGTATGTCACACCTGGAACCCACAGTACCATTCTTGGATTTTGCATGGCAAAGGGATTACTCTTTACTGGGATAGCCTTCCTGGAGGTAATGACTGGTCCTTCATAAACTGAATCTTATTCTTCCCACAGCATAAAAATTAGAAAAAACACTGTTCATCTGGTTCTACAGTTCTGCCCAGGAAAAAGAAAGACTTTCTGTTAGACGTTGCTTCTAGTGGTTGTGCCAGTTAAGAACACCAAAATCCAAGGGAACCCTCCAGCAAACTTTGAAGCTGTTCCAGCTGAAAGGTCACAGACTGCTCTCTGCCTCACACCGAAAGCCAAGGACACCAGCAGGCAGCGCTGAAGGCTCAAAAAAACGAGGATCAGCAGACAATGTTAGAGCAAAGGAGTGGCAAGTACCATCAGCTACAAAGGAAGGGCTAGTGACATTAGTTAAAGCATACTTATTGTACCCAGTCCAGCCAGCACCATCTGAGCTGAGGCTGGAGAACGTAGTGTCTGCAAAGTGGCTCAGTGATGTTGGTCCCTGTTAAATGGGAGACCGTCTTGCTGGTTTGAAGATTTTAAACCAAAGCAGCAGGAGTGATGCAAGTAAAACCCAAAGGAAGTGGTAGGGTGGGTTAAGTAGAGATGGTGTTCTTCTCCAGCTGTGAGATAGGTAGGTGCAGTCTTTGCCAGTTTATGCCCTCTCAGGTGCTGGAAGTGAAACTGTGCTGCTCCGGTAAGCAAAGTCATGAGATCCTGTAGCACCCCTGATCCCAAACTTGCTTCTCCTGTTGAGGAGGAAGGGTGGCTTTACTCCAGTTCAGCTGCTAGACGTTGGGTGAGGAGTGAATTAAGAAGTCCTGGGGTTTATCATTGGTTTAACTGTCCCCACCAATGAATGTGGTAGGGGACCACGAGACTGGGCCGTTAACAACCTGTGCCGAAGCCCTCTTCAGTCCCCAGGTGGAAGGGGGAGTTGATAGGAGGGTTTTCCAGTCAAGTCTGAAAGCTCAGCTATAGCATTTCACATTGGTTGTCATCAGACAAAGTGCTTTCCTGAAGTGTTCAGCCCTCAGGTATTCAGGCTAGGGCAAAACCTAGCTATCACTGCCAACAGTGAGGATTGGTGCAAAGGTGCCACTGGTCCTAGCTAAACAAAACCAAAAAACACGAATGAAAGAGAAAGGGAGAGAAAACAAAACAAAACAAAAAAAAAGAAGAAGCCCTAGAGCAGGTTCACTGGGAAGTTGAGGGGGAGAAAATAAAATCACATTTTGTTTTAAAATTATAAATACTCTCCATATAAAGTTATTAAATAACTGTGGCTGTGGTGAGTTCCAGTGATCCTCCTAAGCAGTGTCTGGTAGTCTTTAAAAAGTGATCTTTGCTCCCCATCTCTCTTGCCCTTGGTTTAAGTGCAGCAGGGGTTGTCAATGACTAGCATAACATCAATGCCATACACTTCCAGCAAGTCCATAAGGAAACTTCGATCCCCTTGGGGATCCAGGCCCATGCCTCGTGCGTGGTCAGCTGTCAGTGTCTTGTCCTGGCTGGCTGACACCTCCATCAGTGTCTGAAATATGCGGTTGTTCTGCTCCATGAAAAACCTGTAGGATAAAGTCAGCAAAGGTGATAGCATTGGACTTCCAGAAATACAGTATGTTTACCAAACGGGCTCCAGAGCCCCAGAATGGCATTTAACCGCCTTAAACCAGAGATCCCAACTTCTTGGGTGATCCTGTAGTTTTCCACTCCCCCACGGATGACCCAGAATAAACAAAGCACTAACTTTTCCTTTACAGTGGTGTTTCCATCTGTCTGGTTTATGGGAGGCATTTCCCTCCTCAGAATCAAGGCGTGTTATCAGCTAACATGTGCCTTGTGGTCACCAGCTGGGTGAATCAGACCTGTATCTCCCATAATGTAAATGAGGAAACAGTGTTGTCACCCATCTGTTAAGCCAGTGGGTAAATGAATTCTCCTGGTGCAGAACACACCAGTGAGAGCTACTTCTTACCTCCTGCTTTCCTAGAACCATGCAGAGCTATTCAGAAATAGCTCTGACTGCATCCCTGCAGCTCAGTGATCAGAGCCCTGCCCCAACAGCCCTTCACACAGTTTCATCCCATTTCTTCTCACCTGCTGCAGACTGTGAATAGCAACAGGCAGGGAAGGGCTTCAGAGGCGGTGGACGTGTGGCCTTCATCTAATTCTGTACCTCCTACCCTACACCCAGTTCTGGTTCCACTCTTTGCCAAGTGCAATACCAGCCACATCAGTGGGCCAGTCCTTCGCATGCAGGTCTTATCTCCACACCGTACCGCCCCCAACATGGAACAGTGCCTACTTCCCATGAACATTGTCCTTTCCTGAACCAAACGTTCTGGCAAGAAAAGTCCTATGGTGCCTGTTTTCAAAAATGGGAAGGGATTCTTGTATTTCTGATTGTGTTTTTAAAATTCACTTCTCCCTCTCGGCACTTAAGAGACCCTAGTAAATACTAATACAGCTGCATTTGGCTTCTCAGAAGGAAAAGAAAATTATCTGAAGAGGAAGAACCGGTTTGGGGAAGAAAGCTGACGATGGAATTATGTTAAACATGATGTTTCGTAATATGGCAAACCAGTGCAACATGAAATCACTACAAGAATCTCCCTAAACCTAACAGGCACCAAGTATCAAGAGGTAGCCACTCACAAGATGAAAAGGTCCTCTTCACAGGAGCTGCAATCCTCACCCACTTCTTGAGAATACATTAACATCTGCCTAAGAGAAGGGAGACAGATTCATTGCATAAGTGAACCTCAAAGCATTATGTGAAGACCAGAATCTCCAAGAGATGAGCTGAAGCAGTGGAATACTTTGAAAATACCAAGACAAGGAATAGAGTACAAAAGAGCAGTGTCCTCTTTATCACACAGCTCTCCTTTCAGGATCAGGACCACCCAGACATCTGTTATTACCTCTGGTCGTTGAGCCGTCGGTACTTCTCCTTGTCAGCATTGTTAATTTTCAGGAGTGGCTGCAGATGCTCGTGATGCGTCTTCACGTTCTGGTTGTCCACGTAGACATCATAGAGATCCCGTTTCTGCTCAAAGATCTTTTCTGTTGTACCTGCCAAAATCAGAGGAGGTTTTCAGAGCAGCACATTGCTTTCCCAACAGACTAATTGTTCTTTCCTGCTCTCATAGTTAGTCATTCCATGCACAACCTATTTCTCATCAGTTTTATTCCACAGTCTGGTGTCTCAAGACATTTTTGCAGCCCGAAGTTAAAAACATCACACCTAATCCATCATACTTACAGGCCACGTATGATACTTCTGTCTCCAGCATTTCTATGTCTGCCACGTTCACATAAAAGAATGGTTTGGACTCTGGGACAGTTCCTCCAAGACCAGGCAGAGAAACATTTGCAAGGCAACAGCAGCAATACACTGCGGACAAGAGAAGCACATCCTGAGATGCTTTCAGTTTTCCCTCAAGGGCAATCTGAACCCCACTTACTCAGCCCTCCCACACACTTCTACGAAACAATGGTTTGAGCTCTGAAATGCCCCTGAAGAGCTTCTCAAGTGACAACAACCTGTTTTGGATAGGAAATAATCGGTTCTCCCGTAGGAATCTCAGTGTTCTGGATTCCACAAATTCAGTCAGTGCTCTTACTGTCCTGTACTAACAGGAACTGTGTTTGACAGTGCCAAATACAATCTTACTCAAGAGGGCTGAAGAAAAGCATTGTGTAGGAAAGGCTTAAATGCGGAATGAATGGTATCTTCGTGAGGAATGGTCACAATGGATTTTGAAGACCTGCATGATGTCTGTCCCCTCAGTACCCACAGGCATTTCTGCAAAGTTTCAGCCTACTAGATCAGAGCTCTGCAGTGTCCCTGGAAACACACCTCTATAGCAGACAACTCCAACTGGGGGTGGTGAAAATATCAATATGCGCTTGCGCAGCAGGGCAAACTTCCAGAGGACAAGGATCTGCTCACCGAAGAATTTGATGAACTGAGACATACAGCCAGCAGGGTGTGTGATCTGCAGGTGGAGGGAAAGGGAAGAAAACAGCTCAGAGGTGAAACAAGGATACATGCACAGATGCTAAGTCTAAATGTGGGAGCAAGACCAGCTTGTAACAGTCCAAGTAACAAAATCTTATCTAAGGCAGCCTACAAAGCGCAGGAGTGACTGCTTACATAAAGACGTATGAGACACCAGTGAGGAGCAGCAGCACTCTGACCACTCCTGCAGGCCTCAGAGCACCTGCCTCACCTTCATCTCTGGGTACATGTATCTGTGGATGGAAGGCAGCCAGTGGACAGGTTGCTGAGAGCCGGGGGTACCCTTGCTGTCAGGGAGAACTCCTTTCTTGTCATCATAGAACGCCTCTAGATGGGAGTAGTGCCCTGGCATCTCCAGCTGGTGTCTGGAAAAGAAAGGAAAAAAGGGGAGATCTGTAGTGTCTCCAGACTATTTAGTGCCTTGCCCACAGCCAACATCTGATCTCCCAGCCAGAAGGGGTCCCGGGTGCCTCAGTTGCACAAACTCATCCAGGAGGACAGACAAAGCGTCAGGATTGACCAGCAGCTTTCAGTGCAGCCAGAGAACAGGGGCAGGACTGATGCCAGCAGCGAGCTGGTGTATGCATAGTACTGATCCTGTTTTCAATACTCTCAGGTAGGAACAGTTTTCTTTTCTACCATCACCATTTTCCCTGCTAGATCCACTCAACACACCTGAAGTACACACCTAGCCAGGATCACCATCATAGGTTTAGAAGGCTTTTGTAAGCCCTTAATAAAATGGTTTTCAGAAGGAAAAAAGGGGAACTTCCTGTCCTCTCAACTCTCCCTGGGACAATTATGTCCACATAAAATAGGTAGGGCTTGAATAGCATTTCACTAGCCTGTTAGCAAAGAACAGACTGCTGCTAATTGCTTCCTTATCTCCTTCACCTTGTGAACCTGTAGCACTTTCTGGAGAAATAATCATTCAAGGAAATCACAGCACAGCATTGTAGACAAATCTCGCTCAACACCTAAAACTGCTTTCCACAGAGGCTGCATTACCTCTACCAGTCAAGGGAGTGGCCAGTCCCATTCCCAAGGGAACTTACCTGACCTGGTTCTCCAGGAAGTGCATGTACCTATACAGCAGAGTGTAGGAAGGGGAGAGGATCCCCACAGACTTCATGCGGGCACCACGCTCTAACTCACTCTCCACAGGCATGTTGGCAAAGCAGGCCAGGCCAAAACAGAGTCCTTTCCGGAAATAACTGGAGACAGATGTTTGACAAAAGGGTTAATGTTAAAAAGAGGGGAAAAAAAGGAGAAAGAAAGGTAACTGACTGCTAAAAATACTCATTTGGGAACACAGTTTCTTCTTTAAGGAATTCCCTGAAATCCCACCCTACTATCTGAAGGGCTGAGGACAGGCCTTGGGTGCCCCAGTCTTCTCAGGAACAAGACAGGGTATTTAAGGCAAGAGTGCACTAAAGCTCCTACCAACCACATCACAGGCCAGTAAGGAATGCAAATAAGGAAATAACTTGGAAGGAAGACTAAGAGAGGATGCACTCAGTCAATGCAGTGCCCTTGCTCCAAGGAAGAAGCCTGCAGTGCATGCAGCTCTGAGTACAGTCTAGCTACCTACTCATATTTTGGGTGCCAGCACATTGAAGCACATTCTAGTTGACTGCAAGGGTTCAGTTCATGCGCCTTTGAGAAAGTAACTGTTCTTCCTGCCCAAAAGGAATTGTGACGCTGCAGTTCATTGCAAAACGTTGCTGCATTGCAACACTGGGTTAGCAAAATGCACAAAATTCTTACGTCTTTCTGCTGAAGGAAGGAGCTAGCAAAGAAGAAAGTGAGCAAGAACTGTTTATCAGAACCTTTAAAGGACCCAAAAGCACTGGCAGAATTAAGAACCTTTTTCTAAGACCTGTTTCTGCAAAATCCTTCCCATTTCAGTTCTTTCCTCTTCCCCTAGGCCTCTGCTGACAGTCCCAATAGTGGCAGTGCAGTGTAATTTGCCCCATACACATTAAAATTTGCAACCCCCCTGAGAAGCTGGCCTGCCCCATTCACCAGTTGGCCTCCACAGCCAGACCTGTCATACAGCAGACCCCTGCATCGAGCTGGTACTTGACACAGTGCTGAAAGTGTCTGAAAAGTATCTTTGGCTCAGCTAGAAATAGTTTAGCAGCACATTTATGCAGGAACGTAACTTCCTGGATGGTATTTTTGCTTGCATTTTCTGAATTAAGGGATGGTGGTGTTAGACGTACAACTAAGAAAAGGAAGAAGCAACATAACATAGCTCAGACATACTCACATGAAATCTGACTGGATTTTGTGGGACCCGCTTGCCATGGATTTGAATTCCACGCCTTCCAAATCTATATCTTGGGGTAAACACCACTCCACCATGTTACCTGCAGAGAAGCAAAGTTATTTGGGTAAGCTTGAATACAGTACTCATTTCTAAAGTGCAAAGAGCATCAACAGCAGGTTGTTGCTTTTACAACACTGGGATGCCAGCAGTGTGCCCTAACACAGCTCCTGAACCCCTAAATTGACAGTAGCTGACATACAATACTCCATGCCTCCCATGCAAAGTTTTTACTGTTGTAACTCAGATATTGCAGGACTTTTGGGGCCATTTCTGAAGCTAGTGCTAGACTGGGGGCTTATACTTGATAAGCCTAATCACAGAGCAGCTACAATTTTACCTGACAGTGGATAAGCTTTGGTCTACATGAGTATTCCATACAGAAAGAACCCAAACTATAAACAGTTGCTCTTTAGGATGAATTTTTGTGGTAGCTCACACCACCACCAATACTGTCCTTTGGCCACATGTGCTTGGCAGGGCTGGTCAAACAGGAACCCCTAAGCCATCATTCCAGTCATCACTACTTCCCTGAAATCTCTCCTATTTTCTTTAGGATATAAGGAGTTAGTTGAAGCTTTATATGCAGGCTGAGGCAATCCCTGTACTGCAATGTGTTTGTGCATGCTAGAATAACCAAACAAAAAAGCACATAAACTACAAGCCAGATCAAGATTAGTAAACATCTGTCACCTGCCAAGCCAGCTACAAAGCATGCAGTTGTTCAGGGGAAAAGGCCACCTGAGGAGCCTGATCCTGGAACAGATGATGTCAGAGAAGTCACAAAATGTCCCTAAAGGAAATGAAGCCCAGCAGCAAGTTTACCACAGGCAAAAAAACGGGTGAATTCTCACGCTTTCCCATGCCAGCATTTCAGAGCCTCATCCGCTTACCTGGGCACTCTCACTGCACCAAGCTGTGCTCCAGAGTTACCCACATTATTTGAAACAATGTGGTTTAGCTTTAAAAATCAAGGCAAACAAACATTCTTCAGTATAATGCAATGGCAGATGCAGCACAAAGGTGCTTCCTACAGGTGCAGTCCTTCCCCTGCCCTTTGGGATGAGCATCCCAGCTGTGCTTGCACCAGCAGCACACATTTGGAAAGGCCTTACACTCAGCTGAGACTCTTAGAGATATTTAAATTTGAGGCCTCATTTTTGAAGCCTGTCTTTTGTCTCATTACTCATACTGCACAAGTATATGCCTGCATTCTCACACAGGAATTGGGCTTAGCTACTGACATTTAAATAGGCTATTTTTCTTCACACATAGATGCTGTATTCAGCAGACCTCCCCCAGCCCTGCCTGGCAAGGACTTCAAAAAAAACCCAGCAGCGTTAGGCATGGCAACAGGAGAAGTTTGCGTCCAACTAACCACTTCTAGTGCACAAGTAGACCTCTCCCACAGAGCCGGGCTGGCCGGGGAGCAGCGGGAGCCTCGTGACCCCGAGCCCAGCTCTGAGAGATCACACGCGAAACCACAGAGCTCTGCTGTGAAGCGCCTTCGCCTCTGAGGCGTGTGAAAGGCTGGCAGGGAAAGCCAATGACATCATGTCAGCCTGCGCGGTCCCCTGAAGGTTTTGCATATTATATATAGATGGTGGCTTTTGTTGTTTGGGGTTTTGTGGGTGGGAGGGGGCTGTTTGGTTTTCTTTTTAAAGGCACAAGGCCCTTCCTTGAAAGAGTGAGGAACTCAACTCTTGAGACTGTCTGTTGTCTCTTAACCACAAAATTGCGGGTTAAGGTCAGATCTGCTTTTAAGCCTTGCACCAGAGAGGATCATTTACTGGTAGATTACCTGTAGATTAACAGATCGATATATAATATATAATGGCCAGTCTTCGCGAACGAAGAACCGGGGAAGGTCTTTACACCTTCCAGCCTGCGCATTGGATTTTTTAGGTGAGACACAGTGTGCGCGGAACTGAGCCCAAGAGTGCCATCAGCAGCAAAGGAAATTGGCTTTGCTCAGTTTAGTCACAAGCACTGTCAGGTGTCATATCCACTGCAGAGGTGTCCAGGTGGACATGGCTCAAACAATGTCTGTTCTGTAGCAGTTCTGAGGAAAGGCGCCTTGAAACAGAACTTTGCCCTACATGTGACCACAAAAACAACTCACATATCATGCAGCTTTTTTTTTTTTTTTTTTTTTTCCTGGGATCTGTCAGGAGCAACCTGCACCTGCACTCCTGGCCGTTCCTCACGCCACCGTGCCCTGGGAACATACGGGCGACGTGGCAGTCGGAGAACAAACGCAGAGATAAAAAAAATAAGAAAGTTGGTCTGGTGAAACAGCAGAGCAAACAAAGGAAAGACTTCACCCAGATGCGATAGCGACTGCCAGCCTGCCTGAGAAACCGGAGGAGGGAGGAGGGAGCAATGTTGCAGAAAAACAGGAAGCATTGCCCTTCCCCGTGGAGAAGGCAGGTCTCGTGCACACAGGAAACTTTCCAAGTGAGAGTGACCCAGTGTCAGAGAGCGGGTGAGTGATTTTGCTGAGAGTCAAATCTGCGGATCTGATCTCTTGGGAGCAATCTCCCGGGCTCAGGTCAGGTCAGAACCAACGCTCAGTTTCTGGTGTGCGAAGTTTTGGATGTTCTTCCTCTTTCTGCTGTATTTTCTTTCCACTCAATTTTCCCATCCTTACAAAAAAGGTGGTTACACTAGCATTTGGGGATCATCACCAGGCCCTCCTCAGCATTACACGTTTCCCAAGAGCTTTAGGGTCCCCAGCTGTGCAGTGCTACCATGTTGTGCCAAGACAGGAGAAGCATAAAGTGTGACCTAGCCATACATTGGCTCTGTTTCCTGCATGGAAGAAATGTGGGACAGAAAAACAGAATATATGCATGTTCACTGGTGCCAAACAGATTACTTCCCTCTCTTCCCTCCTTGTCTCTCTCCATTACATACATTACAGACTATGTGGAACCTCCACAAAGTTGATTATTACCATCTCCCCTGCAGTAGTGGTGAAGAGAGCTCCTTCTCAAGTGCCACAAGGTTCACCATGCTGGAGCTGAGAGCAGCACCACTGATTTAGAAGCTGCCTCTGACTCTTAAGTTCAGTCACTCACATGAGCCCTGACACAGTCACAGGGACAGAACTGTAACAGCGACCTGGCAACTCCAAAACCCATCTTGTGAACTCATCACATGCTCCACTGTTGTACACTGAGCTTGTCTGCTTCAAGCCCTTCTAAATTCAGGAGTAAAGCCATTACATTCTTTATTGGCATAGCCACCACATCATCCTCCTACAGTAAAACATCTCCTGCCCAGTTGCTCGCCTAGTTGAGCAGACATTACCTTGCATAACTACCAGCCCAGCCACCACCAGAAATGCTGCCTTTCATATGCCTCAGCAAGCTGCCAAAGGAGGTCTGCTATGCTCGTCCTGGCCAGGATCAAGCAGGTTTTCCAGCTCAGACACTAACTGGATGATTTTTATTAAGTCACACACAAGGTCCAGATACTCTTATGAACATCACAGGAGTCCTTCACACCATCTGATGTGGTTGACCCAGGAACTGCCATATCCTCTTTCTGACCCTAGCAAGTTCACACCACTCAAGATCTTTTTTCCAGGTCCACATCTTTCATAAGGCACTTTGCTCTCCACCTGTGAAGCTGACGTGTGTACCTCACAGTCCTGTCCTGCTCCCTACATTCATCATCCGTGCTGAGTAGCAGCTGGAGGATGAATCTTCCTGGACTTGACAGACTACTCCAAGGCTGATGACACCCAGCATTAACTGCACATCACATGTGAGAAGAGCTGTTTCCCAACTTTCCCTGGACTTCATTCAAAGCAACAGCTGGTTCAAACAAACTCCTGAGAAAGCTCAGCTTTCTGCCAACCAAGAAAATCTCACCATTTCGTAGAAGGCATATGCTCTCAGATTGAAAGACAACCTTCTGTTGCTGCAATCATCCAGACTCTTTCATGTTTTGGATACTTAGGAAAAACACATCCCCTTCCCATATCCTGTTGGAAAGATGGCATCCAATCTCATTTTGGATTTTGAAACGTCAAGAGCCTCTGACCTCTGAACTGAAGACACTTCTCTCTGGTGCAGTATGGAAGGGGTAACTTCTTGAAAGCCCTCGGGCATTTGAGGACATAGCAACCATGCTGTCTGGCAGTGTGCATTTTTGACAGTACATCCCACCTGGGCCTTCCTTCTCTTTACTACTTTCTTAGGATTTTCTGTTCAAGATCAGCATCCACTCTTTACTATCTGGGCCCTCTTGTGAGCATGATGTCTGTTACCTTCCCCTTCCATTGAAGAACAAACCCTACTATGATTCACAGACCTCTTTCCTGTCTCTAGTGCTTTTGCTATGGATTTGCTAAGGAAGTGCCTGTCTACAGAGGAAGGAGGAGGTCGCTCCCACACCTTCATGGAAATGGGCTCCTGAATCTCCCAAGCTGATTCCTAAACTTTCTCACTATACCAAATCTTTCAGCTATGCACCACTCTTGCCTTTTTACTCCAGGCTGGCACCTGGCAGCCAGAAGACCCAACAGTCTCTCTCAGGACATCAGATCCCCGCACACAGTAGTACCCGTGCTCACAGGTGCCAGGCAGATCCTAACTTCCTATCTGTGTTTTAACATCCTGTTTCTGGATACCGCTGGAGCACAGGACTAGGAAAACAAAGTTAGGATGTTTTCTGAAATGCTGATTTACAGATTTGAAATAAACCACCTCTGTCAGTAAAAGAAGTGATAAAACACCAAGGTCCAACAGCGCTGAGGGAGATGGATATGGCAGCAAAAAGTGGAAAATACATTCCCTTGCTGTTCTCCTGTGCCCTCATGGATTGCAGCACTCCAAAGCACTAAGTCCCAGAGATCCTAACAGAGGCCAGCTTCTAAACACGCTGGTCACTTAGAAATACACAGCCGAGCTGCTGCTGCTGCCGCCAGGAATCGTGCTCTGCGAGCCTGCCACAACCACCATCCATCACCGATAGCTGCGGGCAGGTCTGCGCCACGCCACGGAGACAGAAGGATGCTCTCAAGATGCTTTAACAGGTTGGTGCCCTCCGGGCAGCGGTGACCAGAGGCTCGGCCTGAACCTGTGCTGGGCATAGCGGGTGCCCCAGGGCCGTCCCCAAAATCCCTGTGCCGTGACCCGCTGTGGGGTAGAGACACCTGTCCCTCTCCTCGGAGCGGCGCCAGGCGCGGCGCCTTCCTCCCGCCAGAACTTCTTCTCGGCGGGATGGAGACCTAACGCAATCTCTCTTGTGCTCCGTTTTCGCAAACGCCCCCGGCCCCCGCGGTCCCCCGTGGGGGCAGAGGGTAGCCCAGCTCCCGCCGCCGCTCTCCGCTGGCTCCAGCGGCGGTGGCGGGAGAGGTCCTCGGGAGGCGGGATGCAGGGAGAGCGGTCCCCCAGGGATGCCCGGCCCTGGCCGCATCCATCTTACTCCGGCGACGCCGGGAGCCCCAGGCCCGGCCCTCCCGCGCCGCGGCGCCGCTCACCCGTGCGGGGGTCGAAGGTGACCACGAAGACGGCCACGATCTGGTCCTCCTCCGCCTCCGCCCGCGGCGGCCCCGCCACCTCCGCCGGCCCCTCGCCGTCCCACGGAGCCGCGCTCCAGCCGCCGCCGATCCGCCGCCCGCCGCTGCTGCTGCTGCCGCCGCTGCCCGGCTCGGCCGCGGGTGGCGGCGCCGACACCGCGGGGCCCTCGGCCCAGAACAGCAGCGGTGCCTCGTCCGAGCGCTCCACCATGGCCGGGCCGGGCTGGGGCGAGCCGAGCCGAGCCGAGCCGAGCTGAGCCGAGTGGAGCCGAGCCGAGCCGAACCGAGTGGAGACGAGCTGAGATGAGCCGAGTGGAGCTGAGTTGAGATGAGCCGAGTGGAGCCGATCCGAGCCCAGGTGAGCCGAGATGGAGAGAGCGCAGCGGAGCTGAGCCGAGCCCAGCCGAGCCGGGCCGCGCCAATCCGAGCCGCACCCCCCGCGCCGCACCGGCGGGGGGCGGGACCGCGGGTGGCCACGCCTCCCAGGGGCGGGGTAGCTGGTGGGACCGAGCCGGGGGCGGGGTCTGACACCGAAGGGCGGGGCTTCCCGGGGAGATCCCGGCGGAAATCTCGGCTCTGCTTCGCCGGGGCAGCTCCCGGAGGAGCACGGGAGGACCGGGGGTAGCTCGGTTCCGTGTCCTTCATCTCCTCCCACTGCCCGCCTTCTGTCCCCCCAGGCTGTGTCCCCAGTGCAGGAAGGCTCCGGGGGGCCCTGTCGGGGCCACCCTACTGGGGCAGTCAAGGGAGGTGGGCAGAGCAGCCTCAGGATCAAGAACGGGGCAGGCTCACACACCCACACCCCCAAACTACTGCAAGCCCCAAATCTGAAGGAGTCAGGGATACTGATCCAGTATATATTGATATGTATATATATACACATACCTTATATATATATGATACATATATATATGCACAAACGTGCTACAGAAAGATATGAAACATTTTTAGAAGGAACAGGCAGAATCATCTCGGTTTTGAAAGACGGAGACACAAGCATGACCGAGGCATCCACAGGCAGCCAACTTTTTGTAATTACCGTCCTCGTTATGCTACCACCAATGTCATTAAGTGTCATTAGGTTTAATTTGGTTCCCTAGGTCTTCCTGATTAATTGAATTACCCAATTAAGCAGGCCACAATTAAAAGGAAGATATTGTCATAAAAGCCTTAATTGTCCAACTTTTTTCCTGTTGAGCAGCTCTGAGTGTTCAATATGCCATTAAGAAACCCATCATTCAGCTTCCTCAGCAGTGAGATTTGGTTTTTTCCTCTTTTTTTTTGGTGTCATTAGTATCCATTTGCTGTGAGCTTCATTTCATCCAGCTCCAACACTGAGTGGGCATTTTGTTTCACAGACTCCATGCACAAGTTTACTTTGCAGAGCTATAGACCAGAGTAGGTGGTGTTTAGCAGATGGAGCTTTTCATAGAAGGTGACTGGTAAAGAAAAAAAAAAACCAAAACACAAACCCTGTACAATATTTTGTTACTGTATAAAGAAAAGCCAGATTTTGCAAATACTTGGCCACATGCTTTCCTTTAACCATACAGACAGTGCCAAGCTTCATTTGGGTAAATATATTTTTGCATGTTGGCGATGCTTAAGTGACAGCTCATTTCTCTCTTCTCCTTCATGCCCATAAATGTCAGTCCCCAGTGATCCAGACAGGAAACAAATCCCAAATAAGAATTCCTCCATGATCCATATGAGGTGTTTGTGATGCAGAGCTCTTCCTGGTCCCCTCTGCAGTGCAGTCACACCAGGGTTGTCCCAGCTTGAGGGAGAGGATGCAGTGGGAAGAGCAGCCAGTGACAGGGAGCAGAGGCTGCCAGTGCTGGCCCCAGGATATGTGAAATGTCATCACTCTCTGAGCTCTCGGATTTTGGTGAAAAAAACCCATGGGACAAGAGATCTGGAGGCACCACAGCTATTCATACTGCTTTGGCCAGCAATCTGGGCCTGCTGAGGGTACACTGTTTGCTGGATACATGCAAAAAACAAAGGCCACATTTGCTACCTTATTATTTCACCAAAATTGAAAAGATCAGGCCAGGGGATAATATTACCCTTTTAGAAGAAAAAACAAAATGAACACCTATTCCCTCCAATCTAAGGCTAAGAAAATTTTCATCAGATCTTTGGGTAGTCCTCCAGAAAAAATATGAAATGAAAATGTGGTGCCTTCTTTAAACAGCAGCTTTTCTCCTTTATGTATCACACCCCTCCTGAGAAAAATGGATCCCAAGGGGAAAAAAAAAGAAAAAAAAAAATTAAAAATTTTTTCAGGTAGGATTGAAACTGTGGTCTGAGGGAGTTTCATTGATGGGTTATTGATGAACATGTAGTTATAGGGACTTAAAACATTATTCCTTCAGATTTAGGATAACAGATTCCAACCCAGCACTCCAAGTGCTGAACATCTGATTTATACTGTCAGCTCACAGCAGTGCTAAAGTGGTCCTGGATCTCAGCTGGCCAGATGCTGCAGAGACAGCTCGTCACAGCAAAAAGCAGCCAGCGCTGGCACTCCCAGGCTTTTGGACCTCGCTCAGGGTAAGGCACGGGGAGACACAGCAGCTGCATTCCAGGCTCACAGAGGCTGCACAGCAGCAGCAGGCCCTGTGCCTGCAAGAAACACTAGAAATACAAGAAATGCTGGCTCTCTGAGTCAGAAGCAACCAGTGCTGAGTTCTTGGCATGTCCTGCTGGTACCGTTTTGGGTGCCTGTATCAAATGTTCATCACAATCTTAACAGGCAACTTCAGAGACCCATATGGACATAGTTTTCATTCAAACAAAGGGTTAGGAGAGCAGATAGACCTCAGACCAATATGTGCCTTTATGTTCTGGTGGGAATTTTCCTTGGTGTGTGCATAGGAAAGCAGGTGCTGGTTCTGACAAACCCCCGTCTTGTCTGGGCTGCAGCCACTTCCAATTTCTGCATGTCCCTCTAGCAGTTCTCCTCCATGCTAAAAAAAAAGGCTGCTGTAACCTTGCTCCCAGTTAGTTAAAACTCTCTCTAGTCCCTCTTCGAAGCTCAGGCTCACAAAGACACAGAAGATCCCTGTTTTTTAGAGAGAAGTGCAGTGAGAGGAGACATTGACCTGCTCCCAGTGAGCCACCCTACCTGAAGGGCTGCTTTCACCAACACAGGCAGCTTTTCCCTCCTCTCCCTTGAAACCTCAAGATGGGAACCCATAAGAAAACCTGTGTGTGGCTCCTAACTCTCTCCTGAAGTCTTATAAATTATACAGCTAGGAATTTATACATTAGAAATTACTAACCCCTCCTCGCAGGCTGCAACTCTTGCCCGAATTAACACACATCTAAGTGCAGGAAGTGAAATTCAGACCTAAAAGAAGGAAGTACAGTGCCCCATCACCAAAAGACTAATAACTTAAGTAAAGCCCACAAAGACTGGATCTCTGATGGGATTATCGTGGGGCACAACGGCTTTCTGCAAACAACATCCCCCTCACAGGCCCCAGGAAGCTGGAGAAGGGAAGAGTGTGCAGAAACAAGGAGATGACTCAGATTCAGAGGGAGCTCTGGCTCCCTACAGAGCTGGTTGCAGGCACATCAAACCCACATCCACAGCAAAACCCCTCATCCACCAGGCAACTGTGGACAGGTGCTGCCAAGCTCCAGATGTTTCCCATTAGCATTGGCTCAGGTGTTTGGGGTGGTTATAAAAGCTCCAGGGGAGAAGAAGGGCTCTCTGGGGCATATCTGGTAATTCCTCAGGGTACCCTCTGCTTTTACAGCTGTATGTACCATGGGGTTTTTTTCTCTGGTTGAGAAATTTAAGGTAGAAAAGGGTGAGGGGAGCATTGGTGTGTGTTGTTCTTTAGGATGGGATGGCTTTGTTTCTCTGTGTGATGAGAACAGTGAATGAAATATTGGTGGATGGAGGAGTTCTTTTGGAGCTATACTGGGAAAAGTAGTGGCTTCTGAGTCGTATCTGACTTGGATCAATAAGACAAAAGGCAAAACCTGTTGTTTCATGAGCAGTAGCTGAATGGGTTTGTACTTAGTAATTCTGGGGTACTCTTTGTTACCTAAGGCAGTCTAATGACACCCATGAGTGATTAGGGCTTCCATGTCTGAGGGTTTGGGGTGGGGGAGTGCAGTCAGCAGAACTGATGTCCTTGATGAAGCAAGGAAAAAGGTAGTTAACGTGTGTAAAAACACTGTCTTCCTCTTCCTCTGCCCTTCTCCCTCTTACAAAGCAGGCCAGTGTCAGCTATACCTGCTGTGTCTCATTGTGGTGACATGGGTGACTGGGACAACAGTGACGAATTTGTTCAGCGGCTGGATTTTTCCAGTTGTGGTGAAGAGAGTGAAGACAGAAGCGTGAATGAGGAGGACTCTCTGTGCTTGACCCCTCCCAGGAGGTCTGAGTTCCAGAAGTGGCAAGAGAGTAGTCCTCTGCCAGCAACCCCCCCTCAGAGAAAGTTTAGTGAGATTTTCCTGAGCAGGACAAAAGCCTGGATGAGTCCCACCCTGAAGGCTTCCCCAGCCATGAACAAGACCTGGGGCAGAGCTGAGACACCACTGCACATCACCTGGAAAAAGCTGCAGCTGTGTGACACCCCCCACACTCCCAAGGTAATGGCACGTATCAACTCTCTGCCTGAGCACTCAACGTCTCTGGTGTTGCTGTGGCATCACTGTGTGGATGGTGAGGGGATCTGTTTCCAGCTCTGTGGAAAGCTTTTCTTGTTATTGTTGAGAGCTTGTACTCTTCCCTTAGAAAACTAGACCATGAGCTAAGGAAGGATTGTTCTATGGGTGTGAGTAGAAACCTGTGTGTGGGAGCAACTGCCTTGACTCTTTTAAAGATGCTGTTAAAACCAATTAGCTGGTATTGAGTCAGTCTGACTTAGAAAGCCCCAAGCAACCATGTGCTTTGGCTGTCCCTGTGCACTTCACACTCTGCTTAGAGAAGTGGATGTCTGTAGCATCTCTGTAGGAGATAAATGCGTCTCCCTTCAGGAAGCTCATCATTCCAGAGGGAGCTTGGAGATAGGCAGCTGCCCTTACTGCTCTGTTCAGCACATTTGTTTGCAAGTGGGCTTTCTCTTGAAAGCTGGAAATGTTGTTGTGGCTGGGATACACTTTGTGGCAAGTCTGGATTACTTATCTACAGAGCTAGTTTCTTAGGAGAATGATCCCAGCCTTTATTTCCTGTGAAACTTCTTGCATGGAATATAATACAACTCATTTTTTTCTCTTCTGTAATCACAGATGGAGTCTTAGCACCAGCTTCTCTGTTCCTAGGTAATGTCTAGTGTGTGCACTGGCTCCTTGCCATCAAGACTTGTTCCTCTTGGTCCTTCTCTCAGTATTTCTGCTCTACTGATGGACTGGTTGCTCCTTTGCTTAAGTGATAGCTCAGAATATCAGTCCTTTTAATACTTCTGAGCTAGGGTTTGA